GGTGGGATGGGAAGAGGATGGAAGAAGGGATGTGAACCCCAGGGGTGGAGATCAGAACAGCCTCATAACTAAAGTATAAGGGAAAAGTGCCACTACTAATAAGGGAAATAACCAGGGGAGAGAACACAAAGCTAAGAAGGGAAGGGGAAAGGAAAAATAAACACAAGTGATGCCCAACCCAATTGCTCAGCACCAGCCAACCGATCCCAGCAACAACTAAACCCCCCATGTGCTACCAGCAGTGCTCCAGCCTGAACTCCAAGCCCAGCACTGCACCAGGTACCAGGAGGAAGGAAGCTCTCACAGCTGAACCCAGGCCATGTGTGCCACAGAACAACGCCCCCTCCAAGGCTCCAGGTGACCAAAGCTGGGAAACCTCTTCCTGAGCTCCCAGCTCGGTGCTTCCCTCAGCTCCATGTGTCACACAAGTACCTCAGAAGCCTTCTGCAAGGCACTGACTGCGCCATTCAAAGTGCTGCATCCCCAGTTCAGTCTTCACAAGTTTCTGATGGGTTGTAATTGCATAAGGGATCCACCAGCATGAGTTAGGGCAGAAAGTCCTGCTCAGCCTCCGGAGGCAGCAATCCCAGCCAAGCTATAACCAGTATCTTCAAACACATCTGCAGCCATGTGCATGCTGGTCCCCCCAACATTCATGAAGGAAGGGATGCAGAGACAACCTGTCACATCCACAGAATTCCTTGGAGGAGCCAAAGCCACCGGAAAGGTAAGATGTTCCCCATCAGCAGTCCAGAACAGAACTCTCCCACTTCTCTTGATCAGTCACTCGAAATGTAGGGTCCTCACTAACCCTAACCCTAACCCACCCACAGCACTCCCTCTGCTGAGCTGATCGTGCTGGGTGCCTCTAAGCTGCTATTTGGATCCTGCCTCATGCTTGTGGCCTCCTTGAACTCCCTCAACTACTGCCCCACTTTCCTGGCTGCATGGCTGCCAGGGCTCTGCAGAGCGGGTTCCCAGCTCTCACCATCACACCCAGCACCGCTGTGCACCACAGAGCACTCACACCACAGGTCCCTGCCGTGCACCCACTGCTGCTGGGGGCTCCCTGGGTCAGTGATGCAACTTCCTCACCATCCACCAACCTGAACGCCAGCAGCAGAGGTCTCAGCACTGTCCCCTGCAGCCACTGAAGGCACTAAATGACACTGGCAAAGAAGTAACCCCCGTCAGAGCCTCCCTTGAAAAAACCTTGCAATACCTCTCAATCCATCCACCGTGCCTTATCCACCGTGCCTTATCCACCGTGCCTTATCCACCGTGCCTTATCCACCGTGCCTTATCCACTGCCCATCTACTGCCTTAAACAGATGGACAATGGAGGACCAACTAAAAGGTCAGACAAATGTAAAATCTATCTTTTAACCAGGTAGATTCATAAAACACACAAAGAAATCAGAAATGCACCAAGATCTCCCTCTGTAAGCCAGCTAAGAGCAGTTTACTGCAGCCTGCTCAGCAGCACCAGCATTAGCAGCATGAACTTTGCCACTTCTCTGAAGCCGATGTTGCACCATGCTCACGCCTGCACTTGGGAGTTGAAGAACGTACCCAGAGAGCCTGGCCAACCTTTGGCATCAGCCACTCTCCAAGGGGACTGGGGCTACTCTGTCAAGAGAATTTAACAGCAGGGAGCTCACAGAGATGTGACACAGGGATGCTGTGGTCACAGAACCTAGGTAGCACACTGCTGGGCAGCTGAGCCACTAAAGCATCTCACAGACGTGCCAGTGTGACTACAGGAGTAGTGACTTGGTGCAGGTTTCCTGGGAAGAGCACCAGGAACAGTGTTAGCACTGAGGAGCCAGTCCCTGGGTAAGAGGACAAGGCCAGGCTGCCTCTCCCACAGGCTTCAAAGCAGGATTAACGGCACCATCCCAGAGCTCAGGCTTGCACAGCCCCCCTGCCCTGTGCCCCACTCACCACAGTGACCAAAGGCCTCAGCACTTGCAGGGCGACCGGCTGCACCACGTCCGACACTGAGAACGGCCAGGAGCTGGAAGGGAGGAATTGCACAGGGAATGACCCCAAAGCCAAACCCAAGCCCTCTGTGCCACAGCAGCGGCTGCTCCGGTACCTGAAGTGGAGCAGCCCGGCCCGCCCGTTGGTGGCTGCCTCCTCCGGGAACAGCAGCAGCGGGGGGTTCCCTCTGTGGGATGAGTATGCCTTCAAGGAATCCACCAGCTCTGCTCGGCTCCCGCTCACTCCCAGCTCCATGAACCCTCGTGACCAGCAGATGAAACCAGGGGCACTGTTCAGAGCAGGCTGCAAGGGGAAACAAGAGTCAAGAGGAACCCTGTCCTGTCCTGTTCAGAGCAGGCTGCAAGGGGAAACAAGAGTCAGAGGAGCCCTGTTCCTGTCCTGTTCAGAGCAGGCTGCAAGGGGAAACAAGAGTCAGAGGAGCCCTGTCCTGTCCTGTCCTGTTCAGAGCAGGCTGCAAGGGGAAACAAGAGTCAGAGGAGCCCTGTCCTGTCCTGTTCAGAGCAGGCTGCAAGGGGAAACAAGAGTCAGAGGAGCCCTGTCCTGTCCTGTTCAGAGCAGGCTGCAAGGGGAAACAAGAGTCAGAGGAACCCTGTCCTGTCCTGTTCAGAGCAGGCTGCAAGGGGAAACAAGAGTCAGAGGAACCCTGTCCTGTCCTGTTCAGAGCAGGCTGCAAGGGGAAACAAGAGTCAGAGGAACCCTGTCCTGTCCTGTCCTGTTCAGAGCAGGCTGCAAGGGGAAACAAGAGTCAGAGGAACCCTGTTCCTGTCCTGTCCTCCCACCAGACAACGGGAAACAAAGCTCCTGCTTATCAGTAGAGACTCCTCTTGGGGCAAGGGAGCAGCCTGCTGGCTAAAGGCACTACAGCAGAGAGCACGTTACTGCCCGGCCCCAAGTCCTCAGGTGTTTGATTCCTGACCTACAGTTCAGGCTGTAAGCTGTCTGCCAGAGAAACAAACTCTCCCTGCCCTGGGCAACAATCCTGTTTCCCAGAGCTCTCTCTGGAGGCTCCTGACACACTTGGCAAAGCACACACTACTCCAAGGTTGTTTTTCTCCAGGTAAGGAGCAAATCCGCTGCTCTTCAGGGTACAGGACCAACCAACTCGCTCCCAGGCACGTTCAGAGCCAGCTGACTCAGGAGTGCCACACTTAGGGTATTTCACAAGAGCAAAGGGAGTTACACAACCAGCAGCCCAGCAGAACCCCAGCACCACCACGCAGCTCCGCTCACATCCAGTGAGGGGGACACGCAGCACTGGGGGAAAAGCCCCACATCCAGCCCTGCTCCTGACAGCACCTACCTGAAAGAGACAGAGCTGCTGGGACCTGCCAGTCTCTTTCAATAAGATCAATACCCATTCTAACACTTCCTGCTCCTCCACACCCTGCTCCAGTTTCTATGCAATGCCCAAGCGTGTAAACACTGAACCACAAAGAACCCCAGGCTTGGGAACTCATAAATGAGCACTGAAGGAGAGCAGGGCAACACCTGCGTTCTGACAGGGCTCTCGGTGCCCTTCTCCTGGAGCAGGAACCCCCCGGACCGCAGGGGGGCTCCCGCCAGCCCCTCACCGTGTTGCAGGAGGTGAGCAGGTTGATGACGTTGTGGTCGAACTGCGTGACGTGGTTGGCGATGTAGACCCTGACGCCGGCGTCGCGCAGCCGGGGGTCGCTCTGCTGCACGCACAGCCCCAGCACCGAGCACATCACCCGCACGATGAACCTGGGGGGAGGCAGCTTCCTCACTCCCATCCTGGGGCCTGAGCCATCGCTGGCGCACACCCAGCAGACAGAGGAGACTGGGAATCCGTGTGACTGGACAAAGGACACTGGTACAAAGGGGGCATGCGGGAACAGGTATCTGGAACGGGAGCTGCTGGGGTAAGAGCGGGGGCTGCAGGCTGCCTGCAGAGCTGCTGCTGCGGCATGGAACAGGGGCAGGAACCACCACAGGATCCCCAAGTGCTCTGGATCAATCCCTGGGCTCTCAAGAGGGAACTGCCTGCTCTGCTCTTGGCAGAGAAGGCGCCTCCATGGGTCTGAGAGCAGGAAGTCCCACAAGCTCCTTGTGAGGCTCTGTACGAGCCAAGCCCCGCGGCTCCGGACCCCTCCTCCCGGGCGAGGGCAGCCCCCGCCCCTCCAGCAGCGCCCGAGGCCCGGCCGGCTCCCGCCGAGCCGCACGCACCGCCGCAGGACGCTGTCGGGCAGGGCGCAGCTGACCAGGAAGACGTGGACGCCGATGAAGAGGCGCAGGACGAGCAGGCAGAGCCCCACGGGCGCGTAGAGCAGCAGGGCCAGGAGCAGGAACCCATCGCTCGGAAACCTGCGGGGCCAAAGAGCAGCGGAGCGGCCTGAGCGCGGCGGGACCGGACCGGGCCGCGCCACCCGCCCCTCCCGGGACATCCCGATCGTCCCCACGGAGCTCCCTCAGGACACCCCTTCCGCAGCGGGCCCCGGCCCCCCCAGGGACACGCCACCTTCCCACGCGGGCCTCTCCCAGCCGAGCCCCCGCGAGGCAGCGAGGGGCCGCCGCGGCTCTCACCGGTGCGAGTCGAAGAGCCGCTCGGGGCCCGGCGCCGAGGGAGGCTCCATCCCCGCCGCACCCGGTACCTCACGGACGCTCCACACCCGCCGCCATCTTCCCCCACGGCCGCCCGCCTGCCCGCGCGGGGCAGCTTGGGAGTGGCGGCGCCTTCCCGGCGTGCACCGCGCCGCACCCCGGTGCCTCTCTCTGTCACCGAGCCCCTTCGGCGCTGGGGGAGTAGCCGGTGGAGCCGGTGGAGCCGGTGATCCCGGTAAGCCCATTAATCCTGGTGAGCCCATTAATCCTGGTGAGCCCATTAATCCTGGTGAGCTGCTCTCTGCCTCCCCCAGCAACGGCTTCCGGCGCTGTGTGACTACAGCTCCCAGCGTGCCCCGCGGCGGGACCGTCGCCTCCGTCATACTTCCGCCTCGGGACTACACGTCCCGGCGTGCCCTGCGGCAGGGCGGCACGTGAGCTCCGCAGCAGCATGGCGGCGCTGGCGCGGTGGGCGCGGGCCGCGCTGCGGCCGGGGGCGGAGCGGTGGTACCGGGCGCTGTGCGGGACCGCCGCCGCCCCTCCGCTCCCGCCGCCTCCTTCCCCCTCACCTCCGCCTCCTTCCCCCTCACCTCCGCCTCCCCACTCCTCCGCCGGGGGCCGGGCGCTGGCGGCGGTGCTGGGCGCCGGGACAGCGGCGCTGCTGCTGCTGTGGGCCCGGCAGGGCGAGGGGCACCGGCCCGCTCTGCCCGCGCTGCGCGCCGCCGTGCCCGCGCCCCCGCCCGCCTCGCCGCGCGCCGCCTTCAACTTCATCGCTGACGTGGTGGAGAAGACGGCGCCCGCGCTGGTTTACGTGGAGATCGTGGGCAGGTACCGGCCCGGCCCCGCGCTGCCCGGTCCCCGCGGGGGTCCCTCTTGACCCTGTCCCGGTCCTGCCCCTTCGAGGAGGCTCCGGCCCGGCCCCGCGCTCCCCGTTCCCCGCCGGCACAGCCCCGATCCTGGCTCCCCGCACGGAGCAGCCCCTACCCCAGCCTCGCCCGCGGCCGCCCTGCCTGGTGTCCCGGGCAGCCGGAACCGGGCATGGCGCGGGTGGGACCTCTCCGTCCCCTGTGCCCGCTGCGTGCACAGCCAGCCTCAGCACGGGTCCTCTGCTGCAGGGACGCGGTGCCCCTGAGCTGCCGGCCCCGAGTCCAGTGTGAGCAAAGCTGCCTCTTGGCAGCGGCTCCGGGCTGTCCCGTGGCGCGGGATCCCTGCCCCAGGAGCATGGCTTTGCTTTTCACAGTCACAGACGGGTTTAGGTTGAAGAGACCCCACTCAGCAGCAGGCCGAGGTCACCCGCAGAGGTCAGGGTGATTGTTGTCTCCCGTGGGGACCAGAACCTGCAGTTGTGAGCCCTCCTCTGGCTACTACAGAACATGTGTCCGTTACCTCCCAGGTGGTTGTTACCTGCTCCAGGGCAAGGTTCTGTGCGTTCAGGCTCCTTCTTTGTGCGGATCACAACCCCTCCCACCTACCTCCTGCTGCCCTTTCCCAAAGAGTCACAACAGCTCCGCTCCTGTCAGCTTCCCACCATGCTTCCCACCGGGATCGCACCTTTCCAGTTGTGCGTGGACCTCATTCTTCCTGCGTGCTCCCCAGTCACGGGCCTGGTTGTTCAGACTCTCCACGTGGGGAATGAAGGAGTTGCTCCCGTCACGCTGTTGCCCAGACATCCTCACTGTCCCCCACTGCCTCCCAGCCTAGCCCCTGTCTGCCCTCCCCGTAGTCCCCACCAGTCCCCTCGGGGTCCCTGCCGCCCCTCCCTGAGCTGTGCCCACCTTGCAGGCATCCCTTTTCGGGCCGCGAGGTGCCCATCTCCAATGGCTCTGGGTTCCTGGTGTCCCCGGACGGGCTCATCGTGACCAACGCGCACGTGGTGGCGAACCGGCGGCGCGTGCGGGTGAAGCTGGCCAGCGGGGAGCAGTACGATGCCGTGGTGCAGGACGTGGACCAGGTTGCAGACATCGCTACCATCAAGATCAAGCCGAAGGTGCGCATCCTGCTTCTGGAGACGCTCCCTCCGTCCCTCCCATCCGCTCACCGCTCTCCTCCCTTGCAGCACCCGCTGCCCACGCTGCCCCTTGGGCGCTCCTCTGAGGTGCGGCAGGGAGAGTTCGTGGTGGCCATGGGCAGCCCCTTCGCCCTGCAGAACACCATCACCTCGGGCATCGTCAGCTCGGCACAGCGCGGCAGCCGGGAGCTGGGCCTCGCCGCCTCCGACATGGAGTACATCCAGACGGACGCTGCCATCGACGTAAGGGGAGCTCGGGTTGGGACCTCGTCCCGCTGCCCTCTCTGGGGAGGGGGGAGCTGGGGAAGGGCTGTGGGTGCCGTGAGGTCAGAGGAAGCTGGGAGCACTGGGAGATGGAGGGCTTCTGGCCGGTCACCCAGGTGCTGGCTGCGTTCCTCAGCCTGACCCCGCTCTCTGGACGCTGCCTCCCTGCCTTGGGTCCTGCTGTGTGAGGACGTTGCTTTATGGCCTCTTTCCTGCTCTCTCCTCTGCTGCAGTTTGGGAACTCCGGGGGCCCCCTCGTCAACCTGGTACGTTCCTGGGGCAGTGGTGCTGGGGGCCCTCAGTCTGCCTTGGTGGGTGCATGTGTGGGTGCTGCAGCTGCTGGGAGGGGGGACTGTGCGTGCATCAGGCTCCTTGTGAGGAGGAGCCGGGGCTCAGCCCTTGCAGTGCGTGTTTGAGGGAGCCTGAGTGCATGGGACTCCATGGCACAGCCGAGCCCTGCCTGGTGCGTGTGGCTTGGTTGCTGCTGGCAGGGCTCAGGGAAGGGCTGTGCTGGCTGCAGCTGCAGGGCTGGTCCCTGCCCAGCTTGGCAGGGCCAGGCAGGTGCAGAAGCAGGAGGCAGGGAGGGGATGGGCACACGTGCAGCACTGCAGGCTTGCACGGTGCTTGCCCTCTCCATGAGGATGCAGCGGGATTCACAGTGCCTGCTCCCCTGCAGGACGGCGAAGTGATTGGGGTGAACACCATGAAGGTGACATCGGGCATCTCCTTTGCCATCCCCTCTGACCGCCTGCGGACGTTCCTGCAGAAGGAGGAGCACCGCAAAAGTGAGTGGGGAGCCTCGGGTCCTGCGGGAGGGGAGAGGGAGGCTCTGGCACCGCTGGGCTCCAGGCACCGCTTCTGAGCAGGGCAAGCAGAGCATTGCAGGGATGAAGATTCCCCACCTGGCACGAAGCTCCCTGTGCCTCTTCCATTGCCCTGTGTGTGCTGATGGAAGCGCAGGTGCTGGGTTCAGCTGTATTGGGAAGGACAGGCAGTTATGTCAGTGGTGTCGAGTGTTGCCTGGCTTTGCTGCTCTGGGATGCTGCGTGACGTGCTGACACCGGGGAGGGGTATTCTCAGTCCAAAAGCCAACAGCAAAAAGCAGCACAGTTGCAGTAATGTGAAACCCCACGGGGTGAATGCAGCTTAGATGAGGTGTCTTTGGGCATCAGAATGACCCCACAGCCACTGTCTGCTGTGGGGTGGGTGGGCTCTGTGTCAGCCCAGCCCTGCTCCCAGTGCACGTGGGTCATCTCATGTCATTGCCTTTGACAGGCTCTTGGTTCGGCAGCACAGAGGCAAAGCGCCGCTACATCGGGGTGATGATGCTGACTCTGACACCCAGGTGCGTGTTCGAAGGCTGCTCTTGTGGGGCATGGTGGCTGTGATGGGATCTGCCAGACTGGGAGTGCGTGGCGTGGGGAGGGCTGAAGCACTCACACTCAGGTGTCTGTGCTCCTGTTGTGTGCAGGCTCCAAGGCTCTGCCAGGGGTCAGTGAGAAGCTCGCAGGTTTCTGCATGTGGCAGAGCTGGAACTGCCTCCAGAGCAGTTGTTGCTCAGAGGAGCTGGATCAGGGCCCTGCAGCACAGCAGGAACCCCCAGAACCCTTGTGTCACACACACGAGGGCAGTGGAACGCTGTGATCAGAGTCGGGCAAGCGGTACCCTCGGCAAGGGGGGGTCTGCTGGGGATTGAGGTGCAGCAGCGCTCCTGTAACGTGGGGCTTCCAGTGAGCCCTGACCCCTGTGGCTGCAGGGGAGGCAGCTGGGGGAGAGGGAGGAAGGCAGGAGAGCAGCTCTGCGAGCACCCACAGCGTGGCTGCTGCTGGCGTGGTGGGAGGCTCCTGGGTGCTGCCTCTGGAGGGAGCACGTTGTGGTGTGGTGTTAACCGGTACAGCCCCGGCAGGTGGGAAGGGGGTCACTTCCTGTGGGTCTGAGACTCTTGACGCTCCTGGCCCTGTGTTACTGCTGCATCTCAAGGAGCGCTCTGGTCAGCAGGCACTCAGCCTGCTTGGGCAGAGAGCATCGCCCCTGGCTTCAGTGGGTGCCCAGGACATGCCTGTGGCCAAACACCCTGAGAGGGGCCCTGCAAGCAGTGGGAGCCGAGCTCTGCTCAGGGCTGTGGGACAGGAGGGAGCTGCTGCAGCAGCATTGACCCCAGTGCTGACGGCAGCACCAGGGGTGCATCAGGAGCCCGTGGTGGGAGCTCCCTTGGGAGCCGCTCCCCTCCCAGGGACAAAGGTGCCTGCTCTGCACCAGCGTCTGCAGCTTCTGCAGCCGGCTCTCAAGAGACCTTCACCTGACTCCTGGGGCTCAGCATGAGCCTTGGCTTGGTGCTTGCAGCCTGCTGGGCAGGAGCACCTCTGAGGGCCCTGCTCTGCCCTTCCCAAAGCTCCGGTGCCTTTGGTGTCTGGGTTGGTTTGTGAAGGGCTGCCTGCACCTCAGGGCACCACGGGCAGGGGCTGGGGTCCTATCTGCACCCCTGGGCACCATGAGCAGGGGCTGGGGTCCTGCCTGCACCTCTGGGCACCACGGGCAGGGGCTGGGGTCCTGCCTGCACCTCTGGGCACCACGGGCAGGGGCTGGGGTCCTGCCTGCACCCCTGGGCACTATAAGGAGGGGCTGGGGTCCTGCCTTGCCGCACCAGCGGAGGAGAGGGTGGCTGTGAGGCACAGGCAGTGGGTGGCTGGGGAGCGCTCTGCATCGCTGGGTGCTCGGCCGTGCCCAGTAGATGGTGCTGGTGTGGTTCTGTCAGTGCCCAGAGCCGGGACCAGAGCAGGGGGCACGGACCGGAGCACACGGGGCTGCACCTGAACACCAGGAGCCCCTTTGCCATTGGGGACAGTGGCCGAAGCCTGGCACAGGCACAGGCGCCTGCAGAGCTCAGAGCATCCCCGGCGCTGCAGATACCCACAGCCTCCGTGGGCACAGTCCTGGGCTGCTGCTCTGCGGAGCAGGGATGGGGTGGGTGATCTCCAGAGGCTCCTTTCCCACCCCAGCCGTGCTGTGATGTTACAGCATCGGAAGGGGGGGCAGCTTGCACAGCACAGTGAGGAGCAGGGAGAGGTGCACAGTGTAAGCCACCACTGCAGGGGTAGGAGGAACCGGGGTGTGCAGTCTGTAGGCTCTGGAGGGAGGAGCAGCTTTACCTCTGCTTGACACCTCTGGCAACAACAGGGGCTCACCTTCTGTTCTTGTCCTGCCCCAAAGCAGAGCAGTGGAGCTGCAGCAGCTCCATGGATCTGACACCAAGGAGGGCACCTGAGCTGGGGCTGCTTACACAGGGGTGTGTGTGTGACCCTGCTGGCAGCTGCTCTGGTGGCTCCATCCCTCCGGGCACAGTCAGCACCTTGTCCTCTGGGCTTTGGCAGGGTGATGGCGTTGGGGTGCTCCTGGGGGTGGCAGCGGCGTGCTTGTGCTTGTGCTTGGCAGTGTGAGGGAGGCAGGAGGAGGGGTCCTGTGTAGCTGGGCTGGGTGAGAGCCCTGCTCTGCCGCCCAGCTCCTTTCCTGATGCTGACCTTCCCCCTGCAGCATCCTGGCTGAGCTGAAGCTGCGTGACCCCAGCTTCCCCGACGTCTCCTATGGAGTGCTGATCCACAAGGTGATCATCGGCTCGCCAGCCCATCAGTAAGCGCCCTGTGCCTGGGGGTGGCCTGAGGGGCAGCTCTGGGGGGTGGGATGTATTTAGCTATGGTTTGCTCCAGGGCACAAGGGCTTGGGCCCTGATGCGCAGCAGAAACCAACCGGTGGGTCATGCCCAGGCTTGGTGTCCCTCTGCCTCAGGTACCCGTGCTCCAAGCCTCGTGGTGCCCGGTGCTCTTTGCTCCTGCTTCACCCCCTGTGCTGTGTCTGTGCCGCAGGGCCGGGGTGAAGGCGGGTGATGTGGTGCTGGAGATCAACGGGCAGGCGTCGCGCCGCGCCGAGGACGTGTACGAGGCGGTGCGGACCCAGCAGAGCCTGACCCTGCTGCTGCGGCGCGGCCACGACTCGCTGCTGCTGAGCGTGGTCCCCGAGGCCACCGAGTAGCGGAGCTGCGGCGGGGGGCAGGAGCGAGCCGTGGCCGTGAGCCGGGCACGGACACGCTGAGAGCTGGAGGGAGCCGGGCCCGGTGCCGGGGTGGGCTCCTGGAGCAGCCCTTCCCTCTGTACTCAAATAAAGCACTTTTATAGGGACCCCAGTGCCGTGGGCTCTCCTGCCCCGCAGCATTGCCTGCGGGAGGCTGGGATGTGGAGGATGCTGCCCTTCCTGTCACAGGGAATCCTGGAATGGTTTGGGTTGAAGGGACCTTAAAGCTCCTCCAGCTCCACCCCCAACCCCTTCCACTGGAGCAGCTTGCTCCAAGCCCCTGTGTCCAACCTGGCCTTGAGCACTGCCAGGGATGGGGCAGCCACAGCTTCTCTGGGCACCCTGTGCCAGCGCCTCAGCACCCTCACAGGGAAGAGCTTCTGCCTAAGAGCTCAGCTCAGTCTCCCCTCGGGCAGGTTCAAGCCATGGTGAGAGGGGTTTTGGTGCTGGACCCTGCAGTGTCTGGGTAGTTCCTCGCTGGCTGGGCTGCAGGAGCGCTGAAGCTGGGAGCCTGTCCCTGCCTGTCCCCCCCGCAGCCTGGTGTGGGGCTGCTGCTGCTCAGCTCCATGCATTGCAGCCGGGGCCTCCCTGTGCCCTGCGGCCGGAGCCGAGAGCCCCTTGGGGAAGGAGCAGCTCCGGGTGCGGCTGGAGCCGAGGGCCCCTGGGGAAGGAGCGGCCCCGGGTGTTCCCCGCGGTCCTGGAGAGCCCCTGCTCCGCTCCGGGCTCCGGCGGGAGGAACGCGCGTGTGGAGCCGGGAGCAGCGCGCCCGGGGCCCCCCCGCCCAGCCCGGGGGTTTCGATGAAAGCAGCGCAGCTCTTGGGGTGCTGCTGCCCCGAGGGCGGCCCGGGCACAGGAGCGGGCGGCAGCGAGGAGCGGCCCGGGCACAGGAGCGGGCGGCAGCGAGGAGCGGCCCGGGCACAGGAGCGGGCAGCAGCGAGGAGCGGCCCGGGCACAGGAGCGGGCGGCAGCGCGGAGCGGCCCGGGCACAGGAGCGGGCGGCAGCGCGGAGCGGCCCGGGCACAGGAGCGGGCGGCAGCGCGGAGCGGCCCGGGCACAGGAGCGGGAGGCAGCGAGGAGCGGCCCGGGCACAGGAGCGGGAGGCAGCGAGGGGGCCCGGGCACAGGAGCGGGCGGCAGCGCGGAGCGGCCCGGGCACAGGAGCGGGCGGCAGCGAGGAGCGGCCCGGGCACAGGAGCGGGCAGCAGCGAGGAGAGGCCCGGGCACAGGAGCGGGCGGCAGCGCGGAGCGGCCCGGGCACAGGAGCGGGCGGCAGCGAGGAGCGGCCCGGGCACACGAGCGGGCGGCAGCGCGGAGCGGCCCGGGCACAGGAGCGGGCGGCAGCGCGGAGCGGCCCGGGCACAGGAGCGGGAGGCAGCGAGGAGCGGCCCGGGCACACGAGCGGGCGGCAGCGCGGAGCGGCCCGGGCACAGGAGCGGGCGGCAGCGAGGAGCGGCCCGGGCACACGAGCGGGCGGCAGCGAGGAGCGGCCCGGGCACAGGAGCGGGCAGCAGCGAGGAGCGGCCCGGGCACAGGAGCGGGCAGCAGCGAGGAGCGGCCCGGGCACAGGAGCGGGCGGCAGCGAGGAGCGGCCCGGGCACAGGAGCGGGCGGCAGCGAGGAGCGGCCCGGGCACAGGAGCGGGCGGCAGCGCGGAGCGGCCCGGGCACACGAGCGGGCGGCAGCGAGGAGCGGCCCGGGCACAGGAGCGGGCGGCAGCGCGGAGCGGCCCGGGCACAGGAGCGGGCGGCAGCGAGGAGCGGCCCGGGCACAGGAGCGGGCGGCAGCGCGGAGCGGCCCGGGCACAGGAGCGGGCGGCAGCGAGGAGCGGCCCGGGCACAGGAGCGGGCGGCAGCGCGGAGCGGCCCGGGCACACGAGCGGGCGGCAGCGAGGAGCGGCCCGGGCACAGGAGCGGGCGGCAGCGCGGAGCGGCCCGGGCACAGGAGCGGGCGGCAGCGAGGAGCGGCCCGGGCACAGGAGCGGGCGGCAGCGCGGAGCGGCCCGGGCACAGGAGCGGGCTCCCCGTGGGCTCTCGCCGCTGCGAGGGGGGGAAGCGGAGCCGCCGCGTTCCTGACAGCGCGGCCACGGCAGCAGCGACCGCAGCTTCCCGGAGCGCGGAGCCGGCGCCGGCTCCGTTCCTCATGGACCACAGCCCCCGCGGGACCCCTGCTCAGGAGCATTTGGACTGCATGGGGGGGGAACCAGCCCAGCACCGCCTCCCTGCTGCGCCAGGGTGGCTCCGGCTGCTCCCGCCGGTGCCGTGGGGATGCTTCGGGCTGGGGCAGCTGAAATTGCGGCCCTGCTGGCCCCACACAGGCTTCTCCCAGCAGGCCTGGCACCATCTCTGTATCCCAGCAGCTGCCAGTACCGGGGCTGGTGGGGGGCTGGTCCTGGCCCAGCCAGGGCTGTGTGAGCAGAGGGGATCCTTGCTCCATGTGGGTACTGGCAGCTCCCGTGCTGTGCTGGGGTGTGCTGTGCTGTACTGGGGTGTGCTGTGCTGTACTGGGGTGTGCTGTGCTGTACTGGGGTGTGCTGTGCCAGCCAGCCCTGCGCTGCGCTGAGCCTCCCGGTCCTGCCCGGCTCCGCATCCCCCCAGGAAGAGCCGGGAGTCGCTGGGACCAACTGAGAACTTCATCGAGAAAATAAAGTTACAGCTAAGAGGGGTGTGGGAGCCGCTGCGACCGTGGGGCAGGGGCAGGGGCAGGGGCAGCCACACCACGGCAAGGGGCCATGGGGCAGGGGCAGCCACACCATGGCAAGGGCCCATGGGGCAGGGGCAGGGGCAGCCACACCACGGGAAGGGGCCGTGGGGCAGGGGCAGCCACACCACGGCAAGAGGCTGTGGGGCAGGGGCAGCCACACCACGGCAAGGGCCCATGGGGCAGGGGCAGGGGCAGCCACACCACGGCAAGGGGCTGTGGGGCAGGGGCAGCCACACCATGGCAAGAGGCTGTGGGGCAGGGGCAGCCACACCATGGCAAGGGCCCATGGGGCAGGGGCAGGGGCAGCCACACCACGGCAAGGGGCTGTGGGGCAGGGGCAGCCACACCACGGGAAGGGGCCGTGGGGCAGGGGCAGCCACACCATGGCAAGGGGCTGTGGGGCAGGGGCAGCCACACCGGGAGGGGCTCCTGTGGCCGTGCAGGGCTGCAGATCCCTGCTGGGTCCGGGGGAGGAACCGGGGCCGATGGGGAGCAGGGAGGTGCAGCTGCAGTGACCGGGAGCTGGGGGGGGCACGGTGGGGTTCGGGACCTCTGTGCCCATGCGCCGCGGCCCAGGGGATGTGGGCACAGTCTCTGGGCAGTGGTTGGGGGGTGCCTGCGGTGCCGGGTGGGTGCCTGCGGGTCCCGGCAGCCTCGCGGAGCCCAGTGGCTGCGGTGCTGGGCTCAGGCCCCCGCAGCATCTCCCCCCTGTGCAGGGTGAGGGCAGGAGATGCCCCCGCCCCGGCTCCCCGCGGCGTCTCCCGCACTGCGTCCTACGAGATCTGGTTGTTGAGCTGCCCCGGGTACTGCTCGAAGCGCTTGTTGGCCTCCTCGCTGAGCGCGTCACCTGCGGGAGGGGCCAGGAGCTGTCAGCAGCCCCACAGCCTCCCCACAGCCGCCCCACAGCAGCCCCACAGCCTCCCCACAGCAGCCCCACAGCAGCCCCACAGCCGCCCCACAGCCTCCCCACAGCCGCCCCACAGCAGCCCCACAGCCGCCCCACAGCCTCCCCACCGCCTCCTCGCTGCCGTGGGGCCTCCCTGCCCGGTCCCCCGTGTGCCCTGGCCCCCCGTGCTGCCTGCAGCCCTTACCGATGTGGCAGCTGTGCACCCAGATGCGGTGCCCGTCGTACTTGCAGTTGCATTTCATGGCATTGTTGGTGAAGTCGCTCTCTGCCACTTCGAAGTTGGGGTTGATCACGACCTGGGGGGCACCAACAGTGAGGGCGGGAGCCCCCTGCCCCACAGCGGGCGGTGCCGCAGCCCCACAGCTCCTCGGTTCGGCATTCCCAGCCCCCGGATGTGCCTCCTGCTGCAGCGGGATGCGCTGGGTGCCCCTGTCACTGGGCACCGGGTGCCCACGGGGGCTGCTCAGAGCAGGAGCGTGCAGGCTGAAGGAGCCCCAGCAGCTCCCGCACATCCCGGTCTCCATGCACACGCACAGGCAGTGCCCCCCCGCGCACACCCCCCAGCCCCAGCGTGCTCCAACCCCTCGGGAGCGGGGTGCCCGCGGCTCGGGCAGCGCAGCACCTGCAGGATGTAGTTGCCCGGTCTGACATCAGTGATGTCGATCCACTGGCAGTCGATGTCGTGCCGGTACAGGTCCCAGCAGCCCACCGTGATGCCCTGCTCCCCGAAGTTGGCACACTCATAGCGCTTGGCCACGTCTGCAGGGAGCAGAGAACGCGGCTTGTCCTCCAGCATTGCCCGCACGGCCCCAGCGTGCACAACGGCCGGGGGCAGGGGACAGGGGCAGGGATGGTGCCCCAAGGCCCCATCCATGGCACCCACCTTCCTCGCACTCGGTGTCCTCGAGGCAGAAGCTGGCTTTGTGCCCCTCTGCCACCTTGGTGCCGTTGGGGGTGAGGATGTCGTAGTGGGTGAAGATGTCCATGCTGTGGTAGTGCCTGCAAGAGGGACCCCGCAGCGCCGTGGCTGCACCAGCCCTGCGCTGGGAGGGGACGTGGCTGTCCCCAGGCAGGTGGCCCAGGCAAGCGGGGTCTCAGCTGCAGGACACAGCCCCCAGCCCCAGCGCTGCGCATGGAGGGACAGCCCCGAGCCGAAGCGGGCAGAGCTGGAGCCTGGGCAGCAGCAGGGGCCTCAGCGGGTGTCACCCTCTCCCGGTGTCCCCTCGCCCGGTGTCACCATCACCCAGTGTCCCCATCACCCACCCCCTGCCGCACCGGCACCCTCTGCCCACGCCGCGCACCCACCGGTGGCACTCGTGCCAGACCCAGGAGTGCCGCCCGGCCTTGGGGCGGAAGTCGGCGCGGCCGTGGTTGTGGATCTGGGAGGAGAAGCGCAGCAGGCGGCGGTGCCCATAGGGCCAGTTGGCGAGGCGCGCGGAGCTGGAGAGGCAGCTCTCCTCGGCCGCGCAGTAGAGCATGTGCAGCGGCCGGTCCTCGATGTACGCCGTCTCCTGCACCAGCGGCGCATGCAGCAGCAGGTCCGAGGCGGCTGCGGGCAGGCGATGCTCAGGGGTGGGGGGGTGCCCAGAGCAGGCAGGGCTGGACCGGGGGGGGGGGGTGTGCACCCTCCCCATCAGCTGCAGCCCTGCCCAGCGCCTGCAAACCCCATTGCCCCCAGCCCCGTGACCCACAGACCCTTCATCTGCAGCTCTGGGCCCCGATGCACCATCACCTGCAGGCCCCATTGCCCCCAGCCCCGTGACCCACAGACCCTTCATCTGCAGCTCTGGGCCCCAATGCACCATCACCTGCAGGTCCCATTGCCCCCAGCCCCCTGACCCACAGACCCTTCATCTGCAGCTCTGGGCCCCAATGCACCATCACCTGCAGGCCCCATTGCCCCCAGTCCCATGACCCACAGACCCTTCATCTGCAGCTCTGGGCCCCAATGCACCATCACCTGCAGGCCCCATTGCCCACCCCAGCACCCCAGACCCCAGTGCCCCCAGGCCCCATTGCCCACCCCAGCACCCCAGACCCCGATGCCACCAGGCCCCATTGCCCACCCCAGCACCCCAGACCCCATTGCCCCCAGGCCCCATTGCCCACCCCAGCACCCCAGACCCCGGTGCCGCCAGGCCCCATTGCCCACCCCAGCACCCCAGACCCCAGTGCCGCCAGGCCCCATTGCCCACCCCAGCACCCCAGACCCCAGTGCCGCCAGGCCCCATTGCCCACCCCAGCACCCCAGACCCCGGTGCGCCCAGGCCCCATTGCCCACCCCAGCACCCCAGACCCCAGTGCCGCCAGGCCCCATTGCCCACCCCAGCACCCCAGACCCCAGTGCCCCCAGGCCCCATTGCCCACCCCAGCACCCCAGCCCCCAGTGCCCCCAGGCCCCATTGCCCACCCCAGACCCCGGTGCGCCCAGGGCCCATTGCCCACCCCAGCACCCCAGACCCCGGTGCCCCCAGGCCCCATTGCCCACCCCAGCACCCCAGACCCCGGTGCCCCCAGGCCCCATTGCCCACCCCAGCCCCCAGTGCCCCTCACTCTCGGAGCAGATGACGCCGGCAGCGAAGCGCGTGCCCGTGTTCCTGCAGTTGACGCTGGAGCCGTGGTGCTGGCAGTGGCTCAGGGACATCTCGTTCCCGGTGCACTTCACCCCGCTCAGCACCATCTCCGTCACGTTGCTGGCGTCCCAGTACCAGGTCTCCTGGGGAGGGGTGAGGCCGGGTGGCAGGGGCTGGTGCCGCGGGTGCCCTGGCTCACGCATGCCCGGGCTGCGGCCAGCACCCACCATGGCACAGCCCTGCCCATGTCCCCAGCCTGCTCATGCAGGCCCCATCCCCTGGCATGGAGCAGCTACATCCCTCTGTCCCCATACATCCCCACCAGCAAGCACTGGTGCCTGCGCTCACCAGGGTGTCACCGGGGCCTCCCCACCCGCACCTACCGTCACCGCATGCAGGGAATAGCCCAGGCCGAGCTGGCGACAGGCCACCATGGCCTCCTTGGTGGTCCAGCCCTCGCTGCACACCAGGCCCCACTTACTGCCTCGCTTCACCTCCACGCGGCCCTCGAACGGGGTCCTGCCGCCGGAGAGGCGGATCTGCAGGGAAGCCCTGGGGCAGTGAGCAGGGACCCGAGCCCATCCCAGCGCATCCCGGCCCATGCTGGCCCCTGTGCCCATCCCCGTGGATCGGTGGTGCTGGCGCGCGCTGCCCTGCCCAGCCTGCCTCTGGCACCTACTTGCAAGCCGTGGTTAGCGAATCCCAGGCCCAGCTGGCGGCAGGCCACCATCGCCTCCAGCGTACCCCAGCCTTCGCTGCACACCAGCCCCCAGCGCGGCTGCTCCCCGGCACCAGCCCCCACAGCCACCTCCACCCGCCCCTCGAAGCGGCTTCGGCCCCCGCTCAGCCGAATCTGCGGAGAGAGGCAGGGGCAGCATCACCGTCACCGTCACGAGTGATGCTCCTGCTGCTCCGCTGCATCCACAGCCCAGCCCAGCCCAGCCCAGCACAGCCCAGCCCAGCCCAGCACAGCCCAGCCCAGCCCAGCACAGCCCAGCCCAGCCCAGCCCAGCCCAGCACAGCCCAGCCCAGCTCGGCCCAGCACCCCCACGGGCTTTAGGCACACGGGAGGCGGCGGCCAGAGCTGGGAGGAGCTGGGCACAGCTTTGGCCAGCCCAGAACTCCCCCAAACCGTCAGATTTGGGGCCAGGAACTCGGCTGTGAGTTCGGGAAGCGCCCCAGGGCAGCAGGGGAACGGCTCATTTTGGAACAGCGCTCGCATCCCAGAATGGCAGAGGTGAGAGAGTTAAGTGATGAAAAAGCCCAAGAGGATGAAACGAGGGCCGGGCAATGAGGGCGGGCACACGGAGCACATGGCCCCCCCCTCCGCTCGTTTCATCACCACCTGAAAAAACCTCTCCCAGTTCTCCCACAGTGATTTTTCCGGTGGCTCTGCTGGGTTGGAGCTGGCCCAGGGAGAGCAGCAGGAGCAGCAGGAGCAGCGGCCCCACAGCACCCTGCACACCCCACAGCGCATCCTGACCCCCCCTTGGCCTCCCTTCCACCCCTCTCCTCACAGGGGCACAGTGGAACTCCCACCCCTGAGCCCCTCAGGGCAGCCCTTGCCTCAGACCAGGGGTAAAGTGAGGGGTGCCATGGGGTGCCATGGGATCCAGGGGACAGACAGGCCACCCTGCATTGGGTCCCCCCAGGATCAATACCGAGAGCCCCCCGGTCCCGCAGGCACTGGCAGCCCCGTGGTGCTCACCAGGGTCTCGTAGCCCATGTAGGGGGTGTTGCAGCGGACGGCCACATCCTCGGTGTGCTTGCAGTCCTCCTGCGTGATGTTCTTGAAGGGGCAGCTCCAGAGGGACTGCTCGGTGCCCAGGCACTGCACCTCGTTCATGTGGATGGGCCCCGTCCCTGCCAGGGGGGCAGCAGGGCTCAGGGACAGCGCCAGGGGCACAGCCGCGCGAGCCCCTGCAGCCCGCAGCTCACCTTGGCCCATGCGCGCCCCGGTGAGGGCCTCCCTGGCGCTGCCGAAGCCCAGCTCGCGGCACACCACGCTGGCGGACAGCAGGTTCCAGCGGTCGTCGCAGATCGTGCCCCACTCACTGCCCTTGAGCACCTCGACGCGGCCCTCCCCGACCTTCGCCCCCCCCTTCAGCCGGATCCGTGGCTGCCGGGGGTGGGGGCAAGGGGTGGAACCATCACATCATTGAACCATGGAGTCAGCCAGGCTGGGAAAGAGCTTCAGGACCATCAATCCCACTGTTCCCCAGCGCTGCCAAGGCCACCCCTAACCCATGGCACTGAGGATGTGTGACCCTTGCAAGGCCGGTGCCTGCAGCCCAGCCTGTTCCAATGCCTGAGCACCCTCTGGGGCAGGAATTGGTCCTCAGCTCCATCTAACCCTGCCCTGGTGCAGCTTGAGGCCGGTTCCTCTTGTCCCATCCCTTGGTCCTGGGAGCAGAGGCCAGCCCCTCCTGGCTCCATCCTCCTCTCAGGCACTTGGAGGCAGCCATCAGGTCCCCCCTGAGCCTTCTCTGCTCCAGACTGAACCCCCCAGGTCCCTCACCCGTTCACCATCACCCCTGTGCTCCCGGCCCTGCACCAGCTCCGCTGCCCCTCTCTGGACCCAGGGGCAGCACGGCTGCTGCAGTGCTGAATGGCCCAGTGCGGCACAGCACCGCACAGCACACAGGGTGCTGGCCATGGCCCTGTGATGTGCAGGAACAGGACACGGCCCCTGTATCCTGCGTGGAGCAGGCCCCTGTATCCTGCGTGGAGCAGGTCCCTGTATCCTGCGTGGAGCAGGTCCCTGTATCCTGCGTGGAGCAGGCCCCTGTATCCTGCGTGGAGCAGGTCCCTGTATCCTGCGTGGAGCAGGTCCCTGTATCCTGCGTGGAGCAGGTCCCTGTATCCTGCGTGGAGCAGGTCCCTGTATCCTGCGTGGAGCAGGTCCCTGTATCCTGCGTGGAGCAGGTCCCTGTATCCTGCGTGGAGCAGGTCCCTGTATCCTGCGTGGAGCAGGTCCCTGTATCCTGCGTGGAGCAGGTCCCTGTATCCTGCGTGGAGCAGGTCCCTGTATCCTGCGTGGAGCAGGTCCCTGTATCCTGCGTGGAGCAGGCCCCTGTATCCTGCGTGGAGCAGGCCCCTGTATCCTGCGTGGAGCAGGTCCCTGTATCCTGCGTGGAGCAGGCCCCTGTATCCTGCGTGGAGCAGGTCCCTGTATCCTGCGTGGAGCAGGCCCCTGTATCCTGCGTGGAGCAGGCCCCTGTATCCTGCGTGGAGCAGGCCCCTGTATCCTGCGTGGAGCAGGTCCCTGTATCCTGCGTGGAGCAGGTCCCTGTATCCTGCGTGGAGCAGGTCCCTGTATCCTGCTCTCCACGCGCTGGTCCCCGCGGCCCCCGCACACGCACGGCCCCGCCGTGGGGCAGCGTCAAGCCGGGGGTGGCTGCGGGTGCCCGTCCCCTCGCCACGGGGCTCACCTGGCCCTGCTGCTGCTGCTGCTGCCGCTGCTTCCTCCTGTGGGCGCTGCCGGTGGCGAACTGCGGCCCGGGCACGCAGCTGACCACGGCGGGGCTGCCCGCGCCGCAGGCGGCCGAGGCGTTGCCGCGGTAGAACTCGAAGGCGCACATGGAGAGGTGCCCCTCGGTCCCCGCGCAGGACACCGAGTGCAGGCGGTACCTGAGGGGCTGCCGCTCTGCCAGCAGCCTGCGGAGAGAGGGCAGCCCTGAGGCGGGACCGGCGCGGACGGGCGGCAGCGGAGCTGGCCCCGGCGCTGGCGCGGTCCCCCTGTGCCCGCCCCACATCCCCAGAGACGCTCGGCTCTGGGGACACTGCGCGGGGCTCCTGGCGCTCAGGCTCCCGCTGGAGCCATTTACCTCTTCTTGGACCCTACGTCCTCCCTGCGCTTTTGTTTAGGCTGAGATTTGGAGGCCAGCCTGGAAAACAGAACACAACCATCACGGAGCCCGCAGCCCCGGGCTGTCCTCTCCGCAGGGACACGGGGAGCTCACAGCGGCCGCGGCTTTCACTGGAACTGGGTCTGCTGCCCCCCGGGAGACTCCTGTGCGCCCCCTTGTGTCACACACGGGTGCAGCAGCATCATCTGCTGCCAGCAATGAGACACAACTGCCCCTCACAGCGATGATGCGGTTTCCTGCCCGCATCCCACCAGGAAACTGTGCAGGGCGCTGCAACACCCCGTGCTGCTTTGGCTTTGTGACACAGCAGATCGAACACCAGCAGCAGCCATCTGATCTGCGGGGTACAAGCAGGCGGCCCATGTCCTCGTGCAGACACCACCCCCAGTCAATGCACCCAGGGGAGCAGCACAAGCAGCACAGCACGGAGCAAGCAGCATTGAACCCAGAGCTCTGCCCAGCACAGCGCATGGTGGGACTTGCTGCAGGCATGCGGGGAGCCTCTGCCAGCGAGGGAGCTTCCCTACAGGGAGAGGAGGCTGCCCAGGGCACCCCACGCTGTCCCTGCACGCTCAGTGCTTTGCTTCACTCAGGGAGGAAGAAGCTGAGCAGGGCCAAATCCCTGCCACCACGAGGAGTAAAGAGCAGACCCCAGAGCAGGGCAGGGCCTGGTACCCCCAGGACACGGTAAACCCAAGGCTGGCAACTGACCCTGCTGGCCCGTGGCAGGTTTGTGTCAGCGAGCCCTAGGGCACTGCACAGATGGGACTCAGCAGCCGGCTGGAGGACATCCTCCCCTTCTGACACCCATGGGACCACAGTGTGTCCTGCACCCGGCTCTGGCTCCCAGTACAAGGCACCAGCCCTGCAGGTCCCACTCAGGACCAGTGGAAGGAATGGTTCTACCCTATGAGCCCACAGGGCTGTGGGCTCTCCATCCCCAGAGGTTTTCAAGAGCCATCTGCATGAAGGCCTGGCCCGACCCTCAGCCAGCCCCGTTCCATGCAGGGGGTTGGACCAGGACTCCCTGAGGTCCCTTCCAGCCTGGATTACCGAGTGACCCCACATGTGACTGCAGCTGAGATCAGTCAGCCCTGGCAAACCAGGGGGTGATGCTGAGGAGACAGCTCCTGCTCCAGGCAGAGCAAGGGAGGAGACCCCAGCTCTATGGAGATGGCAAAGCATCGCACCCAGTGCTGCAGGGCAAATACCGGCTCACTGAGAAGGGCTGTCAGCACCAGCCCACAGAACCCCAGCCTGGTTTGGGTTGGAAGGGAGCTTAAAGCTGATCCAGCTCCAACTCCTGCCTTGGACAGGGACCCCTTCCACTGGAGCAGCTTGCTGCAAGCCCGTGTCCAACCTGGCCTTGAGCACTGCCAGGGATGGGGCAGCCACAGCTTCTCTGGGCACCCTGTGCCAGCGCCTCAGCACCCTCACAGGGAAGAGCTTCTGCCTAAGAGCTCAGCTCAGTCTCCCCTCGGGCAGGTTCAAGCCATTCCCCTTGGCCTGGCCCTACAGGCCCTTGTCCCAAGCCCCTCTCCAGGTTTCTTGGTGGAGGGAAATGGGCAGCCAGCCTATCCTTGGGGCTGGTAGGAAGGCAGGAGGAGGGAAAGGGCAGAGGTGCAAGAGATGCTGAGCAGACAGCACTCAGGACAAGAGCTGCCACGGGGGTGCCAGCACTGCGAGCACTGTGCTGCCCATCACCCTGGTGCCCAGCTCTTGCTCAGCAGTGCTGCCAGCCCCCGGCAAGCAATGGAGGCTCTGCAGCCGTTCCAGCTTCCTGCAGAAAGCAGCGCATTTCCACAGCCGTCCCCATCCGCCGGGAAACAGCTCCGCTCCGAGGGCTCCCCTCCCGCACAGGACCCCGCAGTCCCCTGCACCTCCAGGGGTCCTGCCCCAGGATCCTGACCCTGTGCCAGGGCTCCTGCCCCGTGCATGGGGTGGGTGCTGCGGAGCCCGGGGCTCAGCTGGCCTGGGAGGCCGAGCGTCCCTCCTGGAGGCTGGGGACCGCAGCGCCTGCCCAGCCCTGCCCAAGCCCTCGGTCTGCTCCCTCCGGATCCCTTTGTGCCAGGATCCGTCCCCACGGCAGGGACCTGCGTGGCCGCAGAGCCCAGCCCTGCCAAGGGCTCGGCAGGGGGGAGCCCCAGCCGTTACCTCCTGCCCGGCCGCAGGCTCCGGCCCCTTGTCACAGCTGCGCGCTTCACCCGCCTGCAGGAGCAACACTGGAGCTGCCTGGTCAGTGCACCACAAGGGGCACCACAATGGGCACCACAACAGGAACCACAATGGGCACCACAACGGGCACCACAACAGGCACCACGATGGGCACCACAACAGGAACCACTATGGGCACCACAACGGGCACCACAATGGGCATCACAACAGGAACCACAATGGGCACCACAGCGGGCACCACGATGGGCATCACAACGGGAACCACAATGGGCACCACAACAGGAACTACAATGGGCACCACAATGGGCACCACGATGGGCACCACGATGGGCACCACGATGGGCACCACGATGGGCACCACAACAGGAACTACAATGGGCACCACAATGGGCAGCACAATGGGCACCACAATGGGCACTCCAACAGGCACAACAATGGGCACCATGATAGGCACCACAACTGGCACCACAATGGGCACCTCAATGGGCACCACAACTGGCACCACAACGGGTACCACAATGAGCACCATGATGGGCACCACACTGGACACCAGAATGGGCACTGCAATGGGCACCACACTGGGCATTGCGTCCTTGCCCATGTGCCTGTAGCTCTTGCTCAGGCCATGGTGCTTCTGGAGCATTGCTGCCTGGCTCGGCTGCAAACCTCCCCTCTGGACAGGGACCCCCACACTCCACGCTGGAGGAACTGCAGAGGTGCAGCTCTGCAGGGCGCAGACACTGCCCTCTCGGAGCAGTCTCTGCTGCAGTGCATGGGCACATGGGCAGCCACGGCCCCCAGGGCTCGCTTAGCGAGTGCCCCTATGGCCAGCACTGCCCCATGTCCCTGCACTGCCCCAGCCCCCCGGCTCCTGGCAGCCTCCCTCACCTGTAGAAGTTCCTGTTGACCTTCTTCTCGGCAGGGAAGCCCAGCATGCCGCAGACCACGCGGCTGTTGGGGCTGCTCCAGCCCTCGTCGCAGATCTGTGCCCAGCCGTCCTTGTAGCGCACCTCCACGATGCCCTCTGTCACCGGGAGCTGCCGCCGGGCGCCCACCACCACCGCCCGCAGCCGGACCTCCTCCACGTGGCTCTGCTCCGCCTGCAGGGCATGGCTCAGCACCGCCCCCATCACCCCAGCCCCTGCCCAGGGGTGCATCCGCAGGAGATGGGGTCCCCGGCCCCGGGTGGGGAACGGGGATGCCCAGGTCCTGCATCCCTGCAGGCACATCGATGGCCTTGGATGGCCACGCTCCTGCTCCCACACGGTGCAGCCAGGGTCCCACGTCTCCCTGGGAGCACCTCCCGGGAGCGCCCTCTCCCCTCAGGGCCCTGCATCCACCCCACACCCAGACACCCACCAGAGGGAGCCGGGAACCTGGGCACAGCCACTGGGGGCCAGCCCCAGCTCCTCTTGCCTGGCAGCAGAGCAGGCGTCCGCTGCCCAGAGCTGTGCCACGTCCCCACCCCCAGGCTTCATCCTACTGGCCCTGAGAGTCCTGGCCCGCAGCTTCCTCACCTCGATAACATTGGAGTCCTTGAAGCCCGGGATGCGCTCGTCCTTGCAGATGACCCCCGCGTCTTCCTCGTGGCTGCAGTCGCTGTTGCCCCAGCCCCGGTGCTTGCAGTCCCCGATGCTCTTCTCGCCTCCAGCACAATTCACATTGTCCAGCCAGATCCGCCCTGCCAGGCACCAGGGCCCGGGTGAGGGGGGCCAGGCCCATGCAGCATCCCCCGGGAGCAGGGAGGGTGCCCATGGAGCATGGTCAAGAGTACAGCAGAGCAGGGCTGCTGGGGGCTGCTGGGGGCTGCTGGGGGCTGCTGGGGGCTGCTGGGGGCTGCTGGGGCCTGCTGGGGGCTGCTGGGGGCTGCTGGGCTGGGACCATCGCTCCCTCAGCACGAAGCTGAGGCTGATGAAATGCCCAAAGTAGAGCCCTGAGAGGGGGATCTGCGGATGGGGAGGTTCCGCTTCCCCACGGAGCTGCTCTGCAGACAGGAAGCCCCCATGGCAACCCCCGGGCTCTGTACAGTGTCCCGCCTGCAGCAGGAACGGCTGCACCCCCTGCACCCCCCAGCACCATGTGCAGCCCTGCAGCTCCAGTGCATGCCTGCAGCCGCCCTGTGCCCTGGGTACCTGCACAGCAGCTCACACGCAGCTCCCCATCCCGCTTTGTGTGCACATACATCTACACATGCCCTCACACATGTGCTCACGCGTGCACTCACACACTCCTGGGCACTCAGCACACACAGGACCCGCCTGCCCTTCCCCACCAACAGCTCCTGGGAGCCCTGTGGCACACACACAGCCCCATGCAGCCGGCTCACGTGCATCCCCATCCCGTGCAGCACGGGAATCCATGCCCACCGCCCCGCTCTTACCGACTCCTTTGCCGTACTTGGCGCTGTGGGCCCAGCCGGTGGCAGCCACGAAGCCGAGGTGCCGGCAGAGCACGTGCGCGTTGGCCAGCGTGAAGTCATCATCGCACACGGTGCCCCACTCGTCGTTGTAGAAGAGCTCCACGCGGCCCTCGTTGTGCTTGCGGGGGTACCCAGCCAGGCGCACCCGCAGCGCGGGGCCGGGGGGGAGCGTGGGGCCGGCGCTGCTCACCCACAGCCACACGCTCAGCACCAGCAGCTGCGGCGGTGCCCACGCGCAGCAGCTCCCCATGGCAGCCGGGCCCTGCAGGGGCAGGAGGGGTCGGGGTGCGCGGATGCAGGAGCTGAGCCGCATCCTCTGCTGCCCTCATCCCCCTGTGCGGCTGCAGCCCCCAGCTGCTCACAGCAGCCCCCAGCCCGCTCTCACCAGTGCCTCCCTGCACCCCAGAGCTGCCATCGCCCAGGCTCTGCCGTCCCCGCACTCCCCTCGAGCAGCTTCTACCGGAATCCCACTGCGCTGCCGGGTCACATCCCGGCCCCAAAGGGCCCCGGAGCAGGACCAGCGCCCAGGAAAGCCCAGCTGGAGCAGCCGGGAGCTGCACCCACCCCATGCGGTGCAGCGCTGCCAGCCCACGCTGCTGCCCACTGCGAGGAGCTGCAGCCAGAGCCTTCCCCGTTCTGCTCTGGGCAGCCTTCTCCAGCCCTCCAGTAACGTGTGTGGCTCCCGAAATACCCGAGGGAGATGTGGTATTCCCGCACCAGTCCGGTGGCAAACAGTAGTGAAAACAGCTCTCTGTGAACCTCCTCCAGTTCCCAGTTCCCAGTGCACAATTCCCGTTTATCCGTCAGGGACCACTTTAACCCTGTGGATGCTGCTGCGGCATTTCTGCACGGGCAGGGTGAGCCCTGCTCCAGGCTGGGCTCTGGGCCCGAGGGCAAAGCTCGAATGCTCACAGAGCCCTGCCCGTACAGGGACCCGCCTGCCTCGCACCACTACAGCCTCACATCACCCTTCCAGATGCCCCTTCTGCAGGTGGGAAAGCGACCCCAAACGTGGGAGCCGCCCAGGACAGGACCAGCAGAAACACATCTCCGTGCCCTACATCCCCAGCCAAGAGCAGACCCCGCATTCTGCACTCGCAGCCTGTGCCTGTCATTAGATGCTGTTAGAGCAGAGGAAACCTGGCTCACCCCCAAGCAGGGGGAGTCCCGGCTCCAGTGTTCAGCTACAGGATTCGAGAGGAAGGAAAATGATGACAAACCCCACACAAGCTCCCAGCTGGGGCTGCGCTGCAGGGACCCTTCGCACTGACCCTCCCCAGTGCACTCCCCTGCAAGCTTCCATCCCCACTCACAGCTCACTGGGACCACCGGGATGTACTGGGGCATCCCCAGGACTGTGCTGCTCTTGGTGCTGCTGTAGGAGCCTCTTTCCCTGGGCTAAGGCTTGTCCCCATGTTGTCCCTTTGTTCCTCGCCCCTCGGCACCCGTGGTGACAGAAAGTGGCTTTGGGAAAGGGTCCTTGTGGAGCAAAGGGCCTGGGAAGCCCCCCTCAGACTCCACAGAGAATCCACAAGCAGGAATCAGCCCCATTCCTGCTCTGTTCACTTTTCCAGATGACGGAGGCCAGGTCACCTGGCCTGTAAAGCCTGCACCGCTTTGGAGATGCCACCAAGAGCAGCGAGCCCCTTGGGCTGAGCGCCCAGTGCTTGAAGGGATGCTCAGGGAGAGAGGGGGAGTGGTAACAAGGGTCCAGGCCAACGGGAGACACTGCGGTGGAAAGCACACAGCCCCTCAGGGCAACCACATCAGCCCAGTCTGGCTCTCTCCCCTGTCACAACCTGGGGCGTGGGGACACCACAGTGGAGCCAGCAGCAGGCAGGGACCTGCCCTGTCACTGGGCTCCCTGCACCTCAGACGCCCGCACTGGCACTGTGAGAAGGTAACAGCGGGAAGCAGCTCTGTGGGCAGGCAGCAGGGAAATGCTGTGCAGAACCTTTTAATCAGCCTGTGACAGCAGGAGGAGGAGGAGGGAGCACAAAGGGCACCCCAGCCCTGCCAGCAGCTCAGGACACAGGTCCATGGGCTTGCCAGGGCAGGAATGCTCCATCCACATCTCTGCTCTGTCTGGAAAGCAGCAAAGGGATGAGTTTCCCATGTCACAGAAGTGCTAAAACACATCTTATTCCACCCCATGTCACCAAGGGGAGGTCCCCTGCCCATGTGAAGCGTTATAAACCCACAGGGCTCCACCACTGCGTAACACCCAAATTTGAGCCCTCCCAGTGCTGAGACCGAGGAAGCCCCAAGCACAGGACTGAAGCTTCTCCAGCGCTTGCACTGAAAGAGGTGACCTCAGCAGAGAGCAGCGGGGGCCGGCCCCAGGCTGGGCTGTAGCGTGTCCATGCAGCAGCACAACTGGTGCCAGTCCCCACAGCTCCGCAGAGGTGGCCCATGGCAGGAAGCTGGTTTGAGCTTCTCTGAGAGCACAGCTTTGGTTAATTGGAGTAACTGTGCTGATTCCAGGCTGAGACTGGAATGTGCTCCATTCACCTTGCACCTCCCTTTAATAAATAATTAGCACTCAACAGCACCAGTGCACCTCTGCTAAGTGGATTAGAACTGGTCACCTGCTGGAGCTGAAATGTGGTGTCAGCGGGGAAGTCACCCCTCCGTGAGCTTTCTGGGGAGGATCACATGCTTTCCGAAGCAAAACCCTGTCTGGAGGAGGAAAATGTCCTCTCCTGGTTTAGTCTGCAAAGGCAGGAATGGGCAGGACCGTGCAGAACTGTGGTGAGGACAGACCTGAGCAGCCTGGGAAGATGGCATCATGTAGCCTATAGCCATGACTGCAAGGAAGATTTAAGCTTGTGCATTTAGGAACAAAACATGTAGGACCAGAGACCAGAACACGGTCTGGTCTCTGATCCCAGACACCACAACATGGCTTTGCACAGCAAAGCACCAAGTCCCCATGGAGCCTCAGCTCAGCAACCTCAGCCTTTGTGTTTAAATGCCACCGTGGATTTCTCTTCTTCACTGACCTTCAGCTGCTCCAGAACCTGCCCAAACGTCTGCATCCCTCCCTGCACTAACACCAGCTTACCGCCACCCTCAGAACCCCTCTCCTGGTCATGGCTTTCCCCTCCTAAGGCTCCAGCACCCCTCATCCCCACTGCTCTTGCCCTGCCCTCGCAGCTCAGCCCGTCCTCCCCTCCAGGCACTCATTTCCCAGTGAAATGCCTGCTGGGGGCACCAGCACTCCCCACATCCAGCCCAGGCGGCTGCTCCCAGGGGCACGGCACAAGCCCTTTCCCTGTTCCTGTACCAGCTCCGAACGTGCTCGGCAGCCACGTCCCGGGCCGCTCGGGCTGACAGGGCTCCCCTTGTCCACATCACTTTTTCCAGCGCGTTGCTCTGCTCCCGGCTTCCTGCTTTGCTGCCGCCGCTGCTCCGGGATGGGGGACGGGGATGCCCCAGCCCCGCGGGGCCGTCCCGGGGAGCTGCAGCGTTGCAGATGGGGATGATCCGTGCGCAGCAAACCCCTCTTTCAGGCTATGGTGCCTGCAGTCCAGCTGGGGGGACAGTAGCGGGGGACCACAGCCCTGCCGCCTGCGACAGGAGGTCTGTGCCGGGGCTGGGGCTCTGTGTGTGGAGGTCCCTCCACGCTGCAGGGGCTGATCACCCAGCACCAGAGACCTAAGGGGGGGGGGTTCCCCATCTCCTCCCCACCTCTGGCAAGGGGAGAGGCGCACCCCTGTGCCCAGCCTCCCCGGGCTATTCCTGCTGAGCACAAGGGCAGCAGCTCCCAGCGCATGGACACATGGGACAGCTGATGGGCTGATGCTGTCAGAGGAGCAGGGATCTCCTGCACATGCACCCCTGGAGAGGGTGAAAGGCAGAGCTGCAGCCAGCCTGGGCACGGACAGACAGCACATGCGGACGGGGCAGGGGGCCAGGAACTGCCAGGGACAGGGACGGGACGGGATGTTCAAGGCTGATCCTCGGCTGCTGCCGCCGCACGTCTTGGGCAGGAGCTGGGCACGGTCCTGCCCCAGCCCCGGCCGCCCCGCTGCCAGCTCCAGCCCAGTCTCCTCTGGGAGCAGGGCCGCTGCCGGGCTGCGCCGCGCCGAACGTGGCTGCCCTGGCGCTGCGAGTGGAAAGGGCTCGGGAGGACGGGCTGGCCTGGAGCGGCCGCTGGGCGTGGGAGCGGGAGAGCAGCTCGGGTCCTCCCCTCTGCCCACGAAACCTCAGGAATGTCCCGGCCGGGCGTGCGCAGGGCCCCAAAGCACCTCCTGGCTGCGGAGCCGCTGGGGCTGGAGCTGGAGCATGAGAGCTCTGCTCCCCCCGACTGCATCGCGCACGGGGCTGCCGCTCCCACACAGAGACCTCAGGAAGAGGCAGCTTCTGATGAGCGGGCCCTGGCAAGGCGGCGTGTTGGATCTGTGTGTGCTAGAGCAGCCAGACACGGGGCATCCCCGTGTACAGGGCAATAGCCCAGGCTGCAGCAGCAGGAAGGGCCAGGCTACGGCTGATCCCTCAGGAATGTGCTCTCCCAGCCCCAGCCCTGGATGCATGGGGCCATGGAGCAGCCCCAGAACTGACAACTGGGAGGACTCAGAAGAGCAGCACAAGTAAGCGAAGACCTGGGAAACCCGCCAGCACAAGGAGGAAGAAGCTCCCTCTGTTTATCCTTCCTTGGGAAGGGTAAGGGGTGACACGGTCACACTCTGCCGAGGCCCACGCCAGGACATCCCTGAGAGCATGGGGTCATGTCCCCAGAGCTTAGGGCAGGAGAAGGTCTGGTGGGTCCCATGGCTTCAGGCACCGGGCTCCATCCCTCCCTTTCTCCCTAGGGCCTTCGATGCAGAGCCCAGCACTGGCCCTTGCGTAATCCCAGCTGCTGGGACAGGCCTGGTTCACTCTTCCTGCTTCCCAGCAGCACTGGGATGCCGGGAGTGCGTGCATGAGTTGGGGGAGCCCCCACAATTCCTGCCTGCAGGGATCCCATGGGATCAGAGCTCTGGGGTGAGCTCAGCCAGCAGCTGGAGGGTCACAGGGCTCTGCAGATGAACTGGTCCCAGAAGCACTGGGGAGCAGCCCAGGGCCACCACAGGAGCTTGGCCATCCCGGCAGGCTTTGTGACACCTCCCAACACCCAGGCAGTGACAGGGATGCTGCTGCAGGAGTCACACCCCGGCTCCTGGGGCTCTCCAGGGTGTGCAGAGCATGGAGCTGGCATGCTGCCCTTCCCTGATGACTCTGGGTCCAGCCTCACTGGGGGGCATGGTGCCCCCCTGTCCTGCTGTCACCCTCCAAGCCAGGACAGGTCACAGGACAGCTCCCTGCAGTTCCCAGCACCACCCAGAGTCCCCAGGACACACCACGGTGCTCGGCTCTGCCCAGGGCCCCGCGGCTCTGAAGGGGCAGCCCTGGCAGGAACCCGCTGCAGGCAGGAAGGAAAGACCCTGAGGAATGCGCAGAGGCTGCAGCCATCAGTAGGCGGCGGGGCTGGGGGGTCCCAGGCACCAAACTTGGAGCCACTGGGAGATAGGTGACCTGCTTCTCCCTGGGGAGCTGCTGGGAAGATGCATGGCCAGCAGCCAGGTGACGATGCTCCCCCAGCCCCATGCCTCCCACCCCTTCATCCATTCTCTCATCCAAGGGCTACAGTAAATTCCATCTTCATGGACACCCTGAGTGTGCACCGCCCTTTGCAAACCACAGCTCGGGACAACCAGCCGAAGCCCGCACGTGGGGATGCACAGACCCAACGGGCACCCCCAAACTGCCGGGCCTGCGGGTGCCTCTTCCTCCACCGCTGCCTGCACTGCCCGCACCCGCAGCCTGCCCGCGGGACACGCGGCATCCCACGCTCCCATCTCCCACCGCCGGGCTCCCTGAAGCACGCCCCGGCGCCCCTGGCACAGCGCGGCAGCCGCTCCTGCCCCGCCGGCGGCTGCACAACCACCGCACACCGGCCCCGCTGCCCCCCGGGCCCCGCGGCCCCACGGGCTCCCGCTGCTACCGCGGCCGGGCCCGGCCCGACGCACCCAGCCCCGCCGCTGACGGGACGTGCCGGGATGGAGCCGGGATGGAGCCGGGATGGAGGCGGGATGGAGCCGGGATGGAGTCGCGCCGGTCCAAGCCGGCGCCGCACCCCCTCGGCTGCCCCATGCGGTACCTCTGATCCCCACGGGATGCGCGGCTCCGGCAGCGCCGAGCGAGAGCGTCCAGCTGAGCCGAGCCGATCCGAGCCGTGCCCTGCTGAGCCGAGCCGAGTCCTGCCCTGCTGAGCCGATCCGAGCCGTGCCCTGCTGAGCCGATCCGAGCCGCTCCGAGTCGTGCCGCCCCTCTCCGCCCCGGCCCGCCCCGCGCCGTGCCCAAGTGTCCGGGGCCGGCCCGCGCCGAGCGCCCCGCTGCCGGTACAGCGAAGTCGGGCCCCGCTCCCCCGGCCCCGGGATGGGGCCCCCGGCCCGGCTGGGCACGGTGCCAGGCCCGGGACGGAGCCTGGGGGGGGCCCTGCCCGCTGCGGGTCCCTCCTCCAGACAGCCCCGCCCGGCCACGGAGCGGCCCCGCGCTGCCGTCCCACCCGCGTAGCCCTGGGCACCGGGACCCAGGCGGGAGCACCGAGAGCCTGCCCAGCCCTGTCCGTACCCACGGCAGCCCGGGGCCGCTCCGTGGCCAGGCTGGACGAGACCCCGCCACTCCCGTGTCTTGGCCACCGCTGCCACAGCCTCCTCCTCGCTTCTGTGGCTGGGCACGGAAGAGAAACCGTCAGTGATGGATTGATCCTTCCATCTCTCCCTCCCAGCACCCTTCCAGAGGCTGCAGCAGCGCCCCAGAACCCCAGACTGGTTTGGGTTGGAAGGGCCTTAAGCTCATCCAGTCCCAACCCCTGCATGTTGCCAGGGGAGGCCAAGAGCTGGTGAGTGCCTGGAGAGGTGGATGTGTGGGAGCTGCTTCATTTGAGGTCGCACAGGACCAGATATGGGTGAGGCGGCAGCCAGGGCTGGCTGAGGGGGGGGGATGAGGGTGTGAGCGGGACATGCTGATACCCTGACTGTTCCCCCCAGGAGACAAACCACGGTGAGAGACCAGCAAATGCTTTACTGCCATGGACAGCACTTCCCTCAGTGCCCAGGCGGCAGAGATGGAGGCTGCCTCACTGCATCCCATACAGGTCAGGAACATACAGGCAGGAAGATGCTCCATGCCGAGGGCCAGCCCCAGCCCCAGCTGCCCATCTTAGGGCCACACCAGGGATGGAGTGATCTGGACAGCCCAGCCTGCGGGACAGGGACGCTCCCCGCACACTAATGCTCTGTGCCACGCTCCCAGACCACCACCCTAAACGCTGGCCAGGTGGCTTCTTCCAGGCCTGGAGGTCTGCAGCCAGCCCAGGGATGTTGCTGGCTCCCCAGCAGAGGTGGAGGGCACTCAGCAAGCTGGAACAGTCGGGGGCAGAGTGGAGGGGCCCTGATGCCTCTCTCCTGAGATAGCAGAAATGCCTCTGTCGCCCCAGGACTGTCCCCTACATGCATCCCTGTGAGTTCCTGCTCCTCCCCAAGCCATGTCCCCATCACATGTACCTGCTCTGGTCAAGGTGCCCCCCTGCTCCTGCTCCCTGTGTGCGGGACAGGTACCAGCCTGTCTCTGGCACTGCCTCCCCACACCCGCACCCAATGCAGAGTGCTCAGAGGAGGCGTCCCAGGAGCCGAGCACTGGGACAACCGTCCCAGGCCACTGGCAGGGCGACGAAGCCCAGCTTGCTGTAGAAGCTCAGCTGCTGCTGGTCGGTGGCACTGACCTGGCAGAACACTCCCCGCGACCCTGGAAGGGAGGTGTGGGGTCAGGGCGCTGGTACCAGGATCCCAGCACTAGAAGCCAGTGACTGGGACCCCCTCCATGAGAAGGTCAACTCCTGCACTGCCCCTCTGCACTGCGCCTCTGTGATGCCCAAGGCACAGGTCCCTTGGTGCAAGGGGTGGGGGGGGGTGTCAGGGCGCTGGGGCCAGACTGCATCACTGAGGGGATGGGGAGCCCTGGTGGGGGCACCCCGGTGGTGCTGAGGGGTGGGGTGCAGGCAGGGCCAGCTCCTGGCTCCGGGGGGGGCCAGGGAGCAGTGGGGATGGGGTTGGATGAGGGCACACGAGGGGATGCTCACCATTGGCCCTGAGCGCGCTGAGCAGGCAGAGGGCCAGGCTGTGGCTGGCCCCCGCGTCCAGCGTGCGGGCGGCTGTGCCCAGCTGCACCAGGGAGGGGAACCGGCGCAGCACAGGCAGGGGCACTGCCGCTGGCTCTGTGTGGAAGAAGAGCAGCGCTTCCTCCAGGGCATCCTGCAGGGGACAAGCACTGTGAGGGGTCCCCGTCCCCAAACGCGCTCACTCCCCTCCAGGAGCTCCCTCACCCTGCCCAGCGCCGGGGCTCCTGTGGCCAGGTCCCGGGGGTACTTGTGTCGCATGGCCGGCAGCCAGCCGCTGTCTCGCTGCTGCAGGAAGCCTTCAGCGCAGAGCACGCCGGCAGCGTAGCCACAGGGCCCAGCCTCATCCTCCAGCACAAAGGTGTACTCGGGGCTCAGGCTCAGGAAGCTGCCCAGCAGCCTGCAGGCAGAGCAAAGCTGCACTGAGCTGCCACCAGGGCCCAGCCTGCAGGCAGAGCAAAGCTGCACTGAGCTGCCACCGGGGCCCAGCCTGCAGCCAGAGCAAAGCTGCACTGAGCTGTCACCGGGGCCCAGCCTGCAGCTGGAGCAAAGCTGCACTGAGCTGCCACCGGGGCCCAGCCTGCAGGCAGAGCAAAGCTGCACTGAGCTGTCACCGGGGCCCAGCCTGCAGCTGGAGCAAAGCTGCACTGAGCTGCCACCAGGGCCCAGCCTGCAGCCAGAGCAAAGCTGCACTGAGCTGTCACCGGGGCCCATCCTGCAGCCGGAGCAAAGCTGCACTGAGCTGCCACCGGGGCCCAGCCTGCAGCTGGAGCAAAGCTGCACTGAGCTGTCACCGGGGCCCAGCCTGCAGGCAGAGCAAAGCTGCACTGAGCTGCCACCGGGGCCCAGCCTGCAGGCAGAGCAAAGCTGCACTGAGCTGTCACCGGGGCCCAGCCTGCAGCCGGAGCAAAGCTGCACTGAGCTGCCACCGGGGCCCAGCCTGCAGCCAGAGCAAAGCTGCACTGAGCTGTCACCGGGGCCCAGCCTGCAGCCAGAGCAAACCTGCACTGAGCTGCCACCAGGGCCCAGCCTGCAGGCAGAGCAAAGCTGCACTGAGCTGCCACCGGGGCCCAGCCTGCAGCCAGAGCAAAGCTGCACTGAGCTGTCACCGGGGCCCAGCCTGCAGCCGGAGCAAAGCTGCACTGAGCTGCCACCAGGGCCCAGCCTGCCCTGGGGAGAGCTCAGAGCAGCCAAACTCCTCCCTCCTGCCCCGTGGGACAGCACCCCCCGCCCCAGAACACCCCTGAGACCCCCAGCCAAGGGCAGCCATGGCAGCGGGTCCATCCCCACAGCCCATCTGGGCATTGGCACAGGGATGGCTCCCCCAGGTGAGGCCACTGCCAGCCATGGTGCAGGCAGAGCTGGGCCCTGCTGGGATGCAAGAGGCCACTGCATCCCACCACAGCCCAGCATCACCCAGCACACGGCCAGGCTGGGCACACTCAGAGGGACCACATCGTACCTGTCCCCAAGCAGGTCGGGGTGGGCCACAAGGATCTCGGTGACTTCGGGGTCACAGTCCAGACTCTCCCGGCACATGCGGTAAAGCTCTCCCTGGAAGAGTCAGATCCAGCTCAGTGCCTGCCTGGTCCCTGCCCCACTGCTGCTCCTCCGCTGCCCCACCACAGCCCCCGACAGAGCATCACAGCCATCAGCTTCCCAAGCTGGCCACAGAGAGGGACCGTGATCAGGGCCCAGCCCTCCAGTGTGTCCTATACCCGGGTATATGGAGGTACGCGCCTCAGCAGCCAAGGGTGCAATGCACAGCGCACCACCTTCTGCTGGCCTCTGAGCCTGCTCATCCCAGCACAGGAACACTTCAGAATGGGAAACTGCCATTCCAGGCAGGCATCCCGGGGGAGCAGCTGATGACAATGCAGCTCGCCAGGGATGGAGCATGCTCAGAGCTGCGGCGAAACCAGGACTGGAACGCGAGTCTGCTCAGAGCATGCTCAACATGGGACATCTCAGGACCTCCTATCTCGGCCGGACTCGAGACCGCTGCTGCTGTGGGACCAGTGAAAGGCACATCCCAACGGAAGCACTGCTGCCCCAGGGAAGGGCTGCCCCAGCACTGAGCCACACGGCAGGACAGCGAGCGTGCTTCCCGGCACCATTCCCACCACGGCACTTTCCCCCTCCCTCTCACCGGACACGGATTCAGGCTGTTGAGTTCAGATGAGACCTGGCAACAGGCAGTTGGGAAGCTCTTGCCATGGGACATGCTGCCAGGGGCAGTCTGCTCTGCTCTCCTGCGCTGGCAGCTCCTCCTCTGCTGCTCACCAGAGCTCAGCTGAGCACTGCCGGCTCCTCTGCTTGTGTCCATGATGCTGGACTTGCAGCGGCTGCGTTTCCCTTCGCTGGCAGAGGCAGCAGGGGAAGGGAGCCGGGGGCTGCTGCCGGCTCTGGGCTGCCTGGGGCTCTGCTGCACTGGGCAGCAGTTGAACGGGGATGTCCCAGCTCTCCCTGTCCCTCACCATGGCATCGAACTGCGGGGATGGAAACGGGGCGAGGGCGCTGGCAGCGCACTGCTCACAGCTGACAGAGGCTGCTGCGCCGCCAGAGGGGAATCATCCTCCCAGCTGAAGAAGGGACTGACTGGGAGCTGAGCCTCACCAGGCTCAGGCAGTGCCAGAGCCGCCGGCTGCTGAAGGCTGCAGGAGGTCACCCCCCGGCCTGCCCTGCTCTGCACCTTTCCTGGCATCTGCTCGCAGGCACCGCTGGAGCTCAGCCCTGGGGGTGCTCTGGAGCCCGCCCGCGGTTCCTGGCGTCCCACCTTGGAGCCGGTTCAACCGGGGCTCACTGCTGGGCTGGGTCTCCCTGCCCTGCCCCGGCCACAGCACCCGCTCTGCGTCCTGGGGGCTGCCCTGCCCCAGCCCTGCCTGCTCGAAGGTCCCTTCCACCCGCAGAGCCTGCGCTGCAGCTCAGCCCCCCTCAGAGGCGGGCGCATCGCACATGGCACTCGTGCAGCGCAGGCTCCCAGGGCTGCTCCTTGTGCTGCAGCCCCCACCTTGTCCCGGGGCCGCAGCGGGCGCAGGACGTGGAGCTGGCGGGATGGGAAGAGCGGAGGTGGCTGATGGAAGAGGTCCGAGCTGTTCCCCACGGGCAGCAGCGCCTGGAAGAGACAGAGCCAGCAGAGTGGGTCCCGCTGGCCCCAAACCTCGTCCTGAGCAGCAGCAGGAGGGTCCCTCTGAGCACCCTGGACCCTGGGAGCTGCAGCCAAGGCACAGAGGCCCAGGGCAGCTCTGCCTTCCCTTGCGGTAACCCAGTGCCAGGCAGGAGCAGCAGCTGGGACCCCACTTCCCAAGGCTCCAGGCAGGAGCAGCAGCTGGGACCCCACTTCCCAAGGCTCCAGGCAGGAGCAGCAGCTGGGACCCCGCTTCCCAAGGCTCCAGGCAGGAGCAGCAGCTGGGACCCCCCTTCCCAAGGCTCCAGGCAGGAGCAGCAGCTGGGACCCCGCTTCCCAAGGCTCCAGGCAGGAGCAGCAGCTGGGACCCCGCTTCCCAAGGCTCCAGGCAGGAGCAGCAGCTGGGACCCCGCTTCCCAAGGCTCCAGGCAGGAGCAGCAGCTGGGACCCCGCTTCCCAAGGCTCCAGGCAGGAGCAGCAGCTGGGACCCCGCTTCCCAAGGCTCCAGGCAGGAGCAGCAGCTGGACCCCGTTCCCAAGGCTCCAGGCAGGAGCAGCAGCTGGGACCCCGCTTCCCAAGGCTCCAGGCAGGAGCAGCAGCTGGGACCCCACTTCCCAAGGCTCCAGGCAGGAGCAGCAGCTGGGACCCCCCTTCCCAAGGCTCCAGGCAGGAGCAGCAGCTGGGATCCTGCTTCCCAAGGCTCCAGGCAGGAGCAGCAGCTGGGACCCCGCTTCCCAAGGCTCCAGGCAGGAGCAGCAGCTGGGACCCCACTTCCCAAGGCTCCAGGCAGGAGCAGCAGCTGGGACCCCGCTTCCCAAGGCTCCAGGCAGGAGCAGCAGCTGGGACCCCGCTTCCCAAGGCTCCTCCAGCCCCCCCAGTGATGGGCACCCTCTCACCTGCAGCTCTCCAAAGAGGCCGCCGCGCCATGCCCAGGGCTCAGCATCTCCCCACAGCAGGATCGGGGCTGTGATGCTCTGGCACCCTGGAGGCAAAGGGAACAGAGACAGGAGGTGAAGAGAAACCTGCGGGGCTGGGGGGAGCTCAGCCTCCGTCACACAGCACCATCACCATCACCATCCGCACCGGTCACTGTGCACCCCAGGGACCTCGCCATGACTGGGGTCCAGCACAGCCTCCACAATAGGGCTCAGAGTGGGAATGGGGAATGATCCTGCCCCCATGAACGTGTCAGGTAAAAGACAGCTCCCGGGTACCCCTGCCCAGGGGGCCCTGCAGTGCCTGCGGGAGCTCGCCCCGCGCTCTGCCCTGTGGAAGCGGCTCAAGGCACTTGGCCACATCCCACAGTGGAGACCCTCTCAGGCTGACACCTCTTGGTTTGTAAGAGGCCACGAGGGACACAGAGCAGCCAGGAACACCTGAATCAGCAGAACAGGGGCATCCAAAATCCAACCTCGCCTATGACACCGAGGATGTTTCTGCTCCCAGTAGCCCATGGATCCCTTTTACTGGAAGGGCTGAGAGGTCCTTGGATCCAAAGGGCTGAGGAACCATGTCCTAGACATGGGCATCCCTTCAGGACTATGGGGTGGTGCAGAGCTGCTCCGGTATCTGCCCTGTCCCCAGCAGCAGCGCCCCCTCCTGCCTCGGTGTGCAGGGCACGGGGGTGCCAGCCTCCCCATGGCCATTCCCGCTGCACTCAGCAGGCAGAGCGTGGGACGGGGCAGCTCGGTGCTGAGCGCTGCTGCTGCCATGGGGCTTGGGGGGCCCGAGGGCAGCTCCAGGGCCCCTCCCCAGGGGCAGAGCCAGGCAGCACCGGTACTTACAGCCAAAGCAGCTCCCCCAGGCGCCCGTGGGGCCTGGCTCGCACAGGAGGTGGCCATCTGCAAAGGAAGAGAGGCGCTGAGCAGGGGCCAGAGGGGAGGGTCTCCATGGGGGGTGCACCCCAGGAGCGACCCTGGCTACACACAGGGACCCCGAACCTCTGGGGGATCCCCAGGCGCTGTCACCCCTATGGGGGAGCGCCACAGAGCAAGCCCCGGTGCCGCAGTGCGCGGGACCCCGCAGACCCACAGCTCGTACCGAGCCACTGGACGAAGGCGCTGGCGGCCAGCAGCACGTTGCGGATGTCCCAGAGGTAGGGGTGCAGGTCATAGAGCAGCGCCCGCCCCGCAGCGCCCACCAGGCGGGCGTGCAGGCGGCAGGTCTGGGCGCAGAGCCGCGTGAAGGACTGCGCTCGGCCACGCCAGCACCGGGCCTGCGGGCACAGCGGGCGTCACCGCGGCCGTGGCCCGGAGCCGGGACGCGCGGCAGCCCCAGCACTCACCGCACCGGCATCGGGCGCCGCCGCAGAGACCCCCACGCTGAGGCTGTTTGCCCGGAGCCACCGGAAGTGCTCCAGCAGGCGCTGCGCCAGCGGCCCGTGGTGATAGGGCAGGTAGAAGAGCTCCACCAGCATCCGAACCTCCCCCAGAGTCAGCGGTGCCGTGGGGCTGGAACTGGGCTCCTCTGGGGTCAGTGGTGCTGTGGGGCTGGACCTGGGCTCCTCTGGGGTCAATGGTGCTGTGGGGCTGGACCTGGGCTCCTCTGGGGTCACTGGTACCATGGGGATGGACCTGGGCTCTAGGATCAGTGGTGCTGTGGGGGTGGACCTGGGCTCCTCCAGGGTCAGTGATGCCGTGGGGCTGGACCTGGGCTCCTCTGGGGTCAGTGGTGTTGTGGGGCTGGACCTGGGCTCCTCTGGGGTCACTGGTGCTGTGGGGATGGACCTGGGCTCCTCTGGGGTCAGTGGTGCTGTGGGGATGGACCTGGGCTCCTCTGGGGTCACTGGTGCTGTGGGGATGGACCTGGGCTCCTCTGGGGTCAGTGGTGCTGTGGGGCTGGACCTGGGCTCCTCTGGGGTCAATGGTACCATGGGGATGGGCCTGGGCTCCTCTGGGGTCAATGGTGCTGTGGGGCTGGACCTGGGCTCCTCTGGGGTCAATGGTGCCGTGGGGCTGGACATGGGCTCTAGAGTCACTGGTACCATGGGGATGGAACTGGGCTCCTCTGGGGTCACTGGTGCCGTGCGGCTGGACCTGGGCTCCTCTGGGGTCAATGGTGCTGTGGGGCTGGACATGGGCTCCTCTGGGGTCACTGGTGCTGTGGGGGTGGACCTGGGCTCCTCCATGATCAGCAGGGACATGGGTCTGGACCTGGGCTCCTCTGGGGTCACTGGTGCTGTGGGGCCAGGGCTGGCACCAGCCCCATCAATGGGCAGTGCTGTGGGGACAGAGCTGTCACCGGCCCCAGGCCCTGGCAGTGTCTGGGGGGTATCAGCCCTACTGGGCTCAGGCCGGGTGCTGCTGCAGGGCTGGTGGGAGCTGCCAGCCCCCGTCCTGGCACCACCGGTGGGCAGAAGGCTCTGGGCAGCGCTGGTCCCATCGCTGCGGCACACGGCGGGCCCTGGGCTGCGCGGGGCCTCGGCAGCCGCCGGCGCTCCCGTGCGCTGGGGAGTCCGAGCCGCGCTGGGCACGGCAGAGGCGGGCTCTGGGCTCCCTGCGCCCCCCGCAGAGAGCTGCTCCCGGCACCCGGCAGGGCTCTGCTGGCCACCGGCACGGGCCCTGCTCCCGCTGCCCCGCTCGGGCTCCGGGGTCACCTTCCTCCCGCTGTCCCCTGGCGCCGCGCCGCAGGGCTCGGGGCTGGGCGGCTCCGTCCCTCCGGGGGCCGCGCCGTGGGGCCGGGGGCCAGGCGGGACCCCCCGCTCCGCTGCGCCGGGCTCGGTGCCCCGTTCCGCTGCGCCAGGCTCGATGCCCCGTTCCGCTGCGCCAGGCTCGATGCCCCGTTCCGCTGCGCCAGGCTCGATGCCCCGTTCCGCTGCGCCAGGCTCGGTGCCCCGTTCCGCTGCGCCAGGCTCGATGCCCCGTTCCGCTGCGCCGGGCTCAATGCCCCGTCCCGCTGCGCCAGGCTCGATGCCCCGTTCCGCTGCGCCAGGCTCCAGCTCCGCTCCTCCCTTGAGGCTGACGCTGGCGTGTCCCGGGCTCCTCGCTCCTGGCAGAAAGGAGCAGGGGCACCCACATAGAACCTGCAGCCCGGGGGGCAGCACCCTGGGGTGGCCACGCTGGGCAGCTCCACCTCTGAGCCCTCAGCATCGTGGGCTTTGCATGGCTCTGGGCTCGGGAGCCCGGGCCGCGGGGGTGGTGCGGCCACGGGCTCTGCAAGGGCAAACCCTGCGCAGCACCGAGCTTGGCCCTGGCTCAGTCTCTCACCCAGAGCCGAATCCTGGCCCGGCTCCCACGCTGCCAGCAAAGAGACCAAAGCTGGGATGTGGCACACGGGCCACAGACCTGCTGCTGCACCAGCCACAGCACCCACAGCACCCAGACATGGGGCTCTGCCTCCCACCAACCTCCAGCAGAGCCGCTCCAGAGGGACTGAGGAACTGGTGGATGCTGCTCGGTGCTCCGTCATCACCTACCTGGCTCCAAGGCTTGCCGGTTTATCTCAGCCACCCAGTCACGCAGCGCCAGTTCCAAGGCTTCCTGGGGGCTGTAGCTTCCATCCTGCCGGCCTTGGCTGTCCCCCTGTGCTGCTGCAGGCTCTGTCCCTAAGGAACTGGAGCTCATCACTCTGGGCAGCCCCAGTCTTTGCCTGGCAGAGCTACCCCATGGCGTGCTGAGGGCAGGCAGCCCCCTGCAAGGACATGGCCCCGCAGGGATCCCGAGCCCGGGATGTGCCCAGCCAGGTGAACGGCTCACCCAGGCTGCCTGCAGGACCATGGCAGAGACCCATGGCTGTGCCCTGGCTGCCTGTACCGAGACCCCACGTTCAGAGCTGCGGGGGTGCTGGGGCCAGGTACCTGCGTGGTCAGGGTGGGCACAGCTCCCCAGCTCGCTCCGAAACCAGCTGCCCAGCGTGTGTATGGGGATGAAGTTGGCCTGGAGCTCGCAGTTGGGGTTGAGGAGCAGCCCGTGGAGCCTGGCCATGAGGCCAGGGGCACGTCCCGTGTAGGGGCCCAGGAAGAGGCGCCTGCAGTCGTAGTCGTTGGCGTACAGGTTGTCCCAGATGAGGGGCCGGCGCCGCAGCACAGCCTCCACCTCCTCCAGCAGCGCGGCCGAGAGCTCCTGGGAGACCACCTTGGGCCCTGGGGCAGCAGAGGGCACGCTCGGAGCAGGGACACGCAGACCCCTGGGTGCTGCGCAGGGCCATGAGGGCCGAGCTCAGCCCCGCAGCCAGGACACCCCCAGCCCAGCCCGAGCCCCTGCCTGCCCGCGCTGCTCATTTGCTGCTGCCTGTCCCGGGAGCGAGCCCGTGGCTGCAGTGCTCCCAGACCGGGCTCCCGCTGAGCAGCTGCCCGGGGCCAGGGATCCCCCCCTGCCGGGCTGGGTGCTCACCAGTCCAGATGACACCGATCCCTGGGAGCAGCTCCCGGCCGATGGTCAGCAGGTAGCAGGACCGGCTGGGGCTGGGAGAGCACAGAGAGCTGCAGTACTCTATGGAGAGAGCACAGAGCATCCCCTGAAGGGCAGAGGCAGGGAGAGGATGAGCTGCCAGGGCTCAGTGGCAGGGGCTGGGGGAGCCGCATTCACGGGTGCTGGAGCACCAGCCTGTCTGCAGCCTTGTCCTGCCCTGGTACTGGATCCCCAGGGCTCCCTCAAGGGCATGAGGGCTGCGGGGGGAGCTGGGGGAGCTGTCGGGGCAGTCAGCTCTTAGCACACATGGGTGAAGGCAGCCGGAGGCACCCAGCTCTGCCGAGGGTGCTGTGGCTGGCCGAGCACTGGGGGCTGCAGGCGGTACCTGTGGGGCAGAAGAGGAAGACGGGGGGCTGGCCCAGCTCCTGGTACACCTCGTTGGCCACAGAGGCCTGAGCCTGCGCCAGGGAGGGGAAGGCGTCTCTGTCAGCTTGGCACATGCAGGGGTCGATGTCGTCGAAGAGCAGCGCAAAGGCCTGGCACCCCATGGCAGCCACCTGCAGGCACGGGCACCGACACAGGCTGCTGTTGGGCCCCTGCACTGCTGCGGGTCCCTGACAGCCCCGTGCCACTGAGGACAGTGAGGTCTGGGGTGCCCGTGGGGACAGGACGGGCAGAGCCGCCCATGCCATGGAGCAAACCCCCTGTGCCAGCAGCTTTTTACCCTCCTGGGGGCTGGCGCTCAGCACCGGCCTGCACTGGCCACCAGTGCTGCCCAGCAAGCTCCGGTCCCTGTGCTGCCCCAGCACTGCAGCCAGGCACTCACAGAGCCCAGAGGTGACAGGGCCCCAGCGTGACAGGGACGGCTCGTCTGCCACGGGCACCCCCAGACCTGCTCCCTGTGCAGCAGCACAGCCCCACGGAGGCACCATGGCCCTCGCCTGGGAGCAGGGGGATGAAGGAGTGGCCCACGGTACCTGCCTGAGTTTTTGCTGCAGCAGGAGCCGATCCCCAGCGCTTGAGAACACCATGTCCTGGCCAGCAGAGATGGCGAACACAAACTGCACACCCTGCCCTTGGGCAGCCTCCATAAGAGAACGCATGTGGGCTAGGGACAGAGAACGGGCTGTGAGCGGTGGGAGGCAAGGGATGGGGGGAGAAGAGGAGTGAGGAGAGAGTAGGGGTGGAGGGAGACAAGGGAGGAAGGGACAGGAAACCAGTGACCCACAGGGAAGGAGCTGGGGGCAGCAGGAGATAGGAGAGCATCCAGGAGAGCGAGTCCCAGTCCCTTGGGACACAGGGGACTTTCCGCAAGGCTCTGGGCCCTGGTGCATTGGAGCACATTGTGAGAGACCCACGCGAGGAGGTCCCCATGCGGGGGGCTCCAAGGGGCTCCTGATGGGCCGGGGCTGGGAAGGCTCCTTGCAGTGGGCAGGATCTGGGGTCCCCTCGGGCTCCCTGCAGTGGGCAGGCTCTCGGCTGATGCCGTAACCCCAGCCTGGCCCGGCTGTGCCGCAGCCCTCGCTTCCCCCCAGGAGCCGGGGCGGCAGCAGCCGCAGAGCCGGTACCTGCCTCATGCTCCGTGTAGGGCTCTCTCCAGAGCAGCCGGTGCTTCAGCTCGTCCTTGGGCGCGTACATGTAGCAGTTCAAGCCCTGCCGCCCCAGCCTGCGCAGCAAGGACCGGGCTCAGCAGGAGCTGCTCCGCACACGGTGCCCTCTCCTGCCCCAGAGCTGCCCCGTGCCCTGCAGCCTTCCAGCCCTGCTTGCACGCAGCCCCCCCATAAGAGCCCCAGCGATGCCCGGCTCCAGGAGCCCTGCAGGCGCGCGTTGGACATGAAGACATAAACCAGGGCTCTCGGTGCTAAGGCCAAGCATGGGTGGTGTTTAGGGACCTCCAGGTGAGGAGGTCTCGGGGACCAGGAGGATGCTGCCTCTCCGGAGACAAGTGACCGACCTTGCTGCAGAGAAGGTGGGTGGGAAGGACCAGAACAGCCTGCTCCGACCGCTCTACAAAGCCCTGTGGTGATAAGAAGCCCAAGGAATGGAGGCGGGTGAGAGGCCAAGGGGGAGGAAGGGGTCGATCCTCGGGGAACACTAAGAGCAGCTCCTGCCTGCTGCTCCACACAGCCCCATGGCTGCAGGCGGGTCCTGCAGGGCGGCTCCATCAGGACAAACCAACCCTGCAGCCTGCAGCAGCTCTTCCAGGGCTCGTGCTGCTGCCCCAGAGCTGGATCAGGGCTGCAGGGGGGTCTCCCCATAGCGCAGCAGAGGGGCAGGATCCCCTCCCTGAGCTGCTGCTCACGCTCTGGGGGTGCACCCAGCACACAGCGGGGTCCTGGGCTCAAGCGCTCACTGAAGATGGGTCAATGGGAGCTGCTCCTCACCCAACACCCCCAAGTCCTACTCCCCAGGCTGCTCTCGACCCCTGCCTCCCGCAGCCTGTGTTGACACTGGGGATTGACCTGATCCTGCACTTGACCTTGTTGAACTTCATGAGATTTTCATGATCCCTTCTCCAGGCTGCCCAGGTCCCTCTGGGTCCCAGCTCCTCCCTCCAGGTGGTAACAGCACCCCTCAGCTTGATGACCTCTGCAAACTCACTGCGGGTGCCTGATCCCACTACATCAGTGATGAAGGTATTAAATAGCATTGGTCCCAATATGGACCCCTATGGGACACCACTTGTTACTGGTTTCCATTTGCACCTTGAGCCAAGGACTGCAACTCTGATGCTGCCACCCACCAACTCCTCCATGAGCACTGACATGCACTACTTACACACTGCCCCTTCCTGTGCTTCCTATAGCTTGAATCCTGCACCAGCTTCTTCATTCCCCAAGCCAAGAGGCTCAGGGGCTGGAGGTACCCAGTTACCCCCCTGCCCATCTAACAGTGCGGTGTATTTGGGCCTGACCCCATGTGCTGCTCCTCCAGGACAGCTCCGGCTCCCGCGTCAGCCCTGCACAAACCCTGCAGCTCCCCACAGGGACCAGCAGGAATCCTAAACCCCAGCCCCCGCTAAGGGGGTCACAGCAGCACCGATCCACAGGCATCACAAGCCCAGCCAGAGGAGCCCTTTGGCACTGCAGGAGCGCTGCCCAAGAGCCCCAGAGCTCTTCGAAGCAGGGCGAGTGCTGATGAAGAGCTTGGGCTGGGCGGCAGCGAAGCAAGACAAGAGTGAACCACGGATGGATGCTGCGACTGTGCCGTTTGCAGGAGTGGAGACCAAGTAAGTGGAGAATAGAGGAGGAAACACAGCACTGGGGTGATGGGAGACAGCTGTTCAGCTGCGCTTCAGCAAGCAGTGTGCTGCTTGATGCAGCCAAGCACAAAGTCCTGCCTAGGTGAAAGGAGACAGAAGGCAGGGTGTCTGAGCACGACCGTCCTCGGCAATGCCACTGGTAGCTCAGCAGAAGACAGCCCCAGATGAATCATTGCAGAGCGGTCCAGTGACCCCTGTGCTGGCTGCAGATGCTGCCAGAGCAGTGGCCACAGCATGGGAAGGACACTGATAAACCTGGGTGAGTCTGACAAGAAGCCCCACACAGACACAGGAGGGAAGCCTCTGAGCAGGTCTTGGAGCCCAGTGTGCTCCAGGGAAAAGCCTCAGCCAGGAGCCCAGATATGGAGGGATGCAGGGAGACCCTTAGGGACACACACTCCATGAGATGGGAGAAGAAAGGTCTCCAGCTCTCCCGAAGCTGCACTGCAGAGCGAAGGGAAGCAGATCTGAGAGAGACTAGAGCCTGCCTGCTTCAGGAGATGCGGCTGCACTATCACCAGGCCCTTGCTGGCTTCAGAAAGCACCGGCTCCCTCCCAGAGCCTCCCCAGCAACCCAAGAGTCACTGGGAATTACCCGGACAGGGCAGACACCTCCCTGGCCAGCTCTCCTGGCACTGGGAAGCCATCTGAGGGACTCTTTGTATTTATGCGCCCTAGGAGATGAGGTTTCCATTTTCCCACGAGGAGCAGACTGGAAGCACTTCAGGGAGCACATGATGCGAGTGCCGCAGCTTGTTCCTTCCAGGGAAGAATACCAGTGATGAGCACGCCGCTGACGTTTACAAACATGAGGACATAGATCCCCGTCCAGTACCAGACCAGGCCGTCACCAGATGGGCTCATTCCTCATGTGCTCCCAAGCACCACAGAAACCACGGCCCCTTCTTTCCTAACCTATGTTTTCCTGCACCTCTGCTCCTTCCCTGTGCCTGCAGCTCCCCACTGTCACCACGGCACTCGCAGCATGAGCGGCACATTCCCCATGCAGTGCAAGGCTGCCAGTGCCATCATCAGCACAGTGACCAGCACACGGCCCCACTGTCCCCAGTGCACTGCCCATGCAGTGACCAGCACACAGCCCCACTGTCCCCAGTGCACTGCCCATGCAGTGACCAGCACACGGCCCCACTGCCCCCAGTGCACTGCCCATGCAGTGACCAGCACACAGCCCCACTGTCCCCAGTGCACTGCCCCTGCAGTGACCAGCACACGGCCCCACTGTCCCCAGTGCACTGCCCATGCAGTGACCAGCACACAGCCCCACTGTCCCCAGTGCACTGCCCATGCAGTGACCAGCACACGGCCCCACTGTCCCCAGTGCACTGCCCATGCAGTGACCAGCACACGGCCCCACTGTCCCCAGTGCACTGCCCCTGCAGTGACCAGCACCCATCCCCACTGTCCCCAGTGCACTGCCCATGCAGTGACCAGCACACAGCCCCACTGTCCCCAGTGCACTGCCCGTGCAGTGACCAGCACACAGCCCCACTGTCCCTAGTGCACTGCCCGTGCAGTGACCAGCACACAGCCCCACTGTCCCCAGTGCACTGCCCATGCAGTGACCAGCACACGGCCCCACTGTCCCCAGTGCACTGCCCGTGCAGTGACCAGCACACAGCCCCACTGTCCCCAGTGCACTGCCCATGCAGTGACCAGCACACGGCCCCACTGTCCCCAGTGCACTGCCCCTGCAGTGACCAGCACACGGCCCCACTGTCCCCAGTGCACTGCCCATGCAGTGACCAGCACACGGCCCCACT